AGCGCCACTGGCTATGGCCAGCAACACTGATTAGTGTATTCTGATGGTGGGGAAGTTTTCATGTTGTCAGAATATAATAACTCAGCGGAAAGGCCTTCCCCATCCAGATCGAATGGGAACTGGCTCTTTTCTTTTGTTCAACCTGCTGGTGTGAAGGGGGGGGGGTGTCTCTTCCTCCAATCAGCTCTCAGAGATCACCTCACTGTAACTTCAGCTCCCCACCCCCTGCTTTTCAAAGCTGAAAGATCCTGTGTAAACTCTGCACTGTGAATGGATGAAGGGGGCAGATATCTGTAGATAAACAGGTACAACATATATAGGAGGATTTTTCTCATCTCTGTGTATCACCTGAGGCCAGTCACTTCACTGGGTAAGTGTAAGGGTTTACAACCAATTTAAAGGAGTACAGCTAAACTTTTTTGACTGTTCTCCTATGGATCACTGGAGGGTAGTTTGTTCTGTACTTCTATGACCCGTTTTTAACTGACAGCTGGTTGAAGCCCGCTATCAGAAGATGGCACAGAGCCAGTTTAGGCTGGGGAATGGTCGCAGCCTTATGGTCGGGATCCACCCCAGAGTCTGGATCAACACCTGGCTCAGCCTCTCAGCATGCCTGAGTCAGTCGCTCCCTCCCCTCTATGGCCCAGCACTCCAGTGAGTGTGGGGGGGGGGGGGGCAGACAGGGGTGACTGACAGTCACCACTCTCTGCTCACAGCAGGGGTGAGAACTCCGCTGTGATCTCCGAGTTCTCACACTTTGAGCTAGCGGGGAACCAATGCTGCATCCACGTAGGCAAGTATGTCATTTTTTTTTTTTTTTTTTTTTTTTTAAATGTTTTCCATACTTCTCTTTTAAGTTATTTTTGCACCTTTTTATGCCCATGTTAAATATCTGTGTGAATAATTACAGGCTAAAACATTTTCACGGATATTACCCACCATTCCAAAGCCCTCTTTAATTCCTCTGGGCTTCCCCTTCAAAAAAGTCCCTAATCTGCGGCAGTATTAACTATCAGCTCGTAAAAATTAGCTGGATTTTTAGACTTAAATTTATAAACTAGTAATAATTTTGCCATTTACACCAATTGTAAATCCAGATAGGAAATGATCGATACGTCATAACTCAGTATCAAACCGACTGGTAATTTTATTTATAAATACAGCAAATTGCATTTGATTATGGAATGGATTCATTAATAATGTCAGTATGGCATTGGCAGGTAACTTCACACACAAAAGATCCATGTTTCCACTAGCCATGATAGAGCTAGGCATACATTGAGGCATTTGAGGGCTGTGTCCTTTGCTCTGGTCTTGACATCAGGACCCCAGATAGCAGAGGGGTGCAGAAGCTGCAGGAACCAGTTTAGCAGAGGGGAGGACTGGATGGTCAGGTAAACATATCTCCTGTTACTGTTCTCTAGATGTAAATAAGCAATTACCCTTGCAGTGCAGGCACAGCCCCACTGCAGGGGATCATTTTTCTTTGCCTGGAGTTGGGCTCTAAAATAGGCTTTTTACAAATAACATTGTGGCCTGATTCATGCAGTGAAGCTCTATCAGGGTTTTTTTTTTTTTTTTATTGTTCATGAGGTTCAGCTTTAACCAGTTAGTAAAACCATTTGTACAACTGGGGGAATCAATGGTGGAGAAGGATCTGGGGGTTCTGGTAGATCACAAGCTTAATAATGGCATGCAATGCCAAGCTGTGGTTTCTAAAGCGAGCAAAATCCTCTCTTGTAATAAGAGGTATAGATTCCAGAGAGAGAGAGATATCATATTACCCCGGTACAAATCATTAGTAAGACCTCATCTGGAATATGTAGTTCAGTTTTGGGCACCAATTCACAAAAAGAACATTGGGGAAGTGGAGAAAGTACAGAGAAGGGCAACCAAACTGATAAAAGGCATGGAGGAGTTCAGCTATGAGGAAAGATTAGAGGAACTGAATTTATTCTCTCTTGAGAAGAGGAGATTAAGGGGGGATATGATCTCCATGTATAATACATAAGGGGGGATATGATCTCCATGTATAATACATAGGGGGGATATGAACTCCATGTATAATACATAAGGGGGGATATGATCTCCATGTATAATACATAAGGGGGGATATGATCTCCATGTATAATACATAAGGGGGGGATATGATCAACATGTATAAATACATCAGTGGTTCATATAGTGAACTCGGTGTAGAGCTATTCACCCTGAGGTCATCACAGAGGACAAGGGGGCACTCTTTACGTCTGGAGGAAAAGAAATGTAATCTCCAAACACGGAAAGGTTTCTTCAAGTAAGAGCTGTGAAAATGTGGAACAGACTCCCTCAAGAGTTGGTTCTGGCCAGCTCAGTGCACTGATTTAAAAACAGGCCTGGATTATTTCTTGGATACACAGAATATAACTGGATACTAACATTTATGGGTAAAGTTGATCCAGGGAATATCCGATTGCCTCTCAGGGGATCAGGAAGGAATTTTTTTCCCTGCAGGAGTAAATTGGATCATGCTTTGCTGGTTTTTTTTGCCTTCCTCTGTATCAACTGTGGGTATAGGATTATAACTTTCTTTTTTTTTTTTTTTTTTTTTAATAGTTGAACTGGATGGACTTTTGTCTTTTTTCAGCCAGACTAACTATGTAACATTTTCTTTAAAAAGAAAAAAAACTGTAGAAGCACATTACCATCATAAGTTTGCTTGTCACAAATATTACTTTATTTACACGTTTAAAAACACATGAAATCGGAATCCTATCTCATATCAAGTTGAGCCACCTATGGCAATCATAATGGGTACTCTCACTAAAGAGGTCCAAAAAAGTAAGGATACTGTGCAGAAAGCAGTATCCAAAATAACAAAACAGATTATAATTTCCTGAATTCAGAACAGTAAATGACTTATACGCTACTATACTCTATTGTTCTTTTGTTCTCTGCCTTACTGAATACGTCTGTCTGTGGATCCCACTGAAAATCTCTTTAAGGGCTGGTTCACACTATGCCTGCACATGAATCTCACAGGAACGCCCTGTGCATTGCAGCGCCCTGTGCAGTGGGTGTCAATAGAGAGTTAACGACACCCCAAATGCAGGTCGCAAACATTTACCCAGACCAGATCGCATGGTAACTTTGTACCATTCAATCCGGTTGCAGTGTTTTAAAAAGTAGTGCATGCATTATTTTTTGGTGTGATGCGATTTTAGCCCATTCAAAATGCGCTGAAATAGCACCGCACAGAAATGCACAAAAACGCGCGAGGCGTTCTTGTGTGATTCATGTGTGGGCATGGTGTGAACCATCCCTTAAAGGGAAAATAAATATGTGCAAATACTAGAATGTGTGCCTCTTTAAAAGAGGAAAGCAAAAAGGGAAATTATTGATTAACTAATATTTCTATAGTACTTTTCTCCCTGGAGACGCATTATCTGCTGTTGGGACAACCATCCTGGGAGCACTCAGCATAATATCACACTGGAGCTAATTAAACTACCAGCATGTCCATTGAGTGTAGGAGGAAACCCACACAAGGACAGGGAGAACATGAAAACTCTATGCAGATAGTGTCCTGACTGAGACTTGACCAGAGGGACTACAGTACTGCAAGCCAGAAGTGCTAACCATTAAGCCCCTGTGCTGAAACAATCCTAAATGATTACATACATAAATATGCTTTTACACTGAAATACACAGCAGCTAACAAAACATGAAAAATCACTGCAACAGTAAGGCAACATGGGAGATATTTTTTTTCCAAAAGGTGACATGGGAGATATTTAGTAGCTATATCATACTACTAAAATCACCAGCGACTAATCTCAAAGGCTTTGTTCACACGGACCTCATTCTATATAGGACCAGCGTATACACTAGTTTTTTACAAAGCATTTGCCAAACCAGATTCAAAAATGTTAAAGAAACCTTCAGCTCCAGTTTAAAGATGTTCAACAAAGTTTTTGCACAGAAAGAAGACTGTCAATCTTTTCGGGGCTTGGGATACATGGTGGGGGTTGCCAAGCAAAAATAGGAAGTGAGGTACCTCCCAGGATGCGTGGAAATGACTGGGTGGCCGCCCTACAGTGGGACTGGCAACCGTAGTATCCACACTGCCACTGACACAAGCCTTAAGTCACTTGTAGTGAAAGAGTTATACAAGTTGCTAGCAGACTTCAGGGAACTTCAGAACTATTTGAAATTTGGCTGAAGCCTGCTAGCAGCTTGTTTAAAGTGACAATCAGCACTCTCTATTACATCTGTGTTTAACATCATCTAACTGGAGAAGAAGCTTGGTGTACATACTGCTCTTATACAAGCTGAAGCCTATGTGAACAAATGTAAGTCACAATACATTATCACACACATGAACAAATGGCTGCCTATATGTAAAATAACATACATAGCATGCAGTAGCAATTCATCCCTCAAGATTACATAATGGTCCATCTGTACAGGATCAATTGCTACTGATTGAGACTACATCCTACCTGTGACGTTTACACCATAGGGGGAACCATTTGTTCTATCTTTCAAATTTGAAGGCAGTTACAAACCAGTTTTGGTATATACTGGCACCAATGTTGCCTACAGTTACATCTCAGATTGTTTTTATTGTTTTTTTTTTTCCGCACGGTCACATGTTTTCTGTAACAAATAATAAACACTTTGGGATGTCACATTCAAAATTTCCAGCATCCTCTTTAATATTACAAAAAAAAAAAAGAAAGAAAACATAGCTTAGATTTCAAGCCTGGCATTGTAAAATATTCTTCTCTAATATTCCCGTACAAAGTAGGACTACAAGGAAAAAAGAAAAAAAAAAACAAAAAAGAAAGACATTTACAGTTTTACATATGCTGATTCAGTTGTACTGGATCCTTATGGAGGAATTCCCAGCACCACATCATAAATCTGCATTTCTGCAGAGTATTGCACACATAGAGAAAAAAACACGACCAGTGAAAGGGGCCTTTTTCTTGTTTCCATTGCCTGGCGCATGTTCTTCTCTAGATGCCTGCTTTTAGGAGCAGGCGTTTACCTGAAAGACAAAGAGGTTGTGTTAAATATACTGACTGTGTGTGTATATATATATTTATTTTAAACAAACAAACATCAAATTTAGGACAAATTGCACTACAGGTTACATAAAAAGAAAATGCAGCACTGGATGTCTGTCTTATGGCTCCCATTTTCATTTCTGAGATTTACACAGCCCTAACAGCCAACCTGGAGATCTGACTTTTCTCTACTGCAGTGAAGTAATATATCTAGGTCTTGTTGCTGCCCCCAGCCTGTAACTAGACACTGGAGGAGAATCAGAAGACTGCTGAGATTACCTTTTTGTCCCTTTGTTCTTTCATCCTATCAGAATGTTTATTGTTAGGATGCAAGCTCTACAGCACAACTGATTAACTGGGCATTGCTGTGCAGGCAACTGCAAGAGGCTGATACCAAGTTACAATTAGGCACTTGGGCCTCTTTCAGACATGCGGTAAGCTTACCACCCTCTGAAAAATGATCTGTGGTGGATGGTTTTTCAGAGGACGGTATAACAGTAGCTGACAGGCATTGAGGAGTCACTACTGCCGCCTCCTTAGGTCTATTTTTTTTTCTCAACTGCTGAATGGCAATTTCACATTGCGGGACCATGTCGCAACTGCTAGCCAAGCATTTGGATTGTGGTTGTGGTTTGACCCCATTGATCTTAATGGGTATGATTGATAGTTGGTGCTGCCTGTGAAAGCATTCCTGTATGGATTGGTGGTTTGTTTTTTTATTGCCTAGAGTTTGGTTTATATCTTAAAGATCTCCAAATAAGTTCAGTTTTAACCAATTCAATACCGTGCAATTTTATACCTTCCTACCCAGGCCAGTTTTCAGGTTTCAGCGCTCTCCCACTTTGAATGACAATTGCGCGGTCATACAACATTGTACCCAAACTAAAATGTTATCATTTTCTTCACACAACTAGAGCTTTCTTTTGGTGGTATTTAATCACCGCTGGGGTTTTTATTTTTTGCTAAATTAACAAAAAAAGACCAAAAATTTGGAAAAAAAAAAAAAAGTTTTTCTTTGTTTCTGTTATAAAAGTTTGCAAATAAAGATTTTTGTTCTTCATAAATTTAGGCCGAGATGTATTCTGCTACATGTCTTTGGTAAAAATAACCCAAATTAGGATGTATTTTTTAGTCTGTAGGAATGTTAGAGTTCACAAACTATGGTATAGATCTGAATATTGATCAATCCTGAAGTACTGACAGCCAATCTAATTTCTTGAGGTCCAAGAATGTCAGAACAGTACAGATATCCCCCAAATGACCCCTTTTTGCAAAGTAGACAGTCCGACGTACTTCATAAGAGGTATGGAGAGTTTTTTGAAGTTGTATTTTTTTTGTCATAATTTTTCGGAAAATGAAAAAATTAAAAAAATTAGTTTCACAATTTTTTTTTACATACTGTCACCAGTGCAGTACAGCGCGTCATCATATAACTGGCATGGCGGTGATCAGGGACACTGACTGGTGACAGCATGAAAAAAAAAAAATAATTTTTTTTTTTAAGATTTTTTTTTCATATTTCACTATGACCAAAGTAGTACAATGTTACCATAGTACCATTGTACTACTTTGGGGAAGTGATCAGTATATTTTTTTTTTTTTTTTTTTTTACACAATTTGCTTATAGCAAAGAATTACTTTGCTATAAGCAAGCATTTACCTGAATGACATCGATTCATTCAGGGTTTTTTTTTTTTGTGCTTAGCTGTGATTTGGCCACAGCTAATCACATGACATGTGCATGTGATTAGCTGTGACCATTCACAGCTAGGCAGTAGTATACAATGGATGGCATGAATGAAGCCATCCATATTATACAACTGTCATGTGACTTGCTGTGATTGGTCACAGCAGGTCACATAGTACCAGCAACGGGGGGCCGATACTCAGATCTGTCATCGGCCGTGTCCGAGGTACACGGCTGGTGACAGATCGTGCCGCTGCGCCGCTCTGCAGGAGCGCAATCTGCGCATGTGCGGGAGGACGCCATATGGCGTCCACCCGGAACGCTGATGACATTTGCCACCCGCCATTTGGCCATAGGGCGGGCGGCAAATGGTTAAATAAATATACACATCAGAAGCAGCAGCTTGTTGCAGAAGAAAGTATCTCTTGTTTAACAAAGTTACCTGATGCCATACATCAAGGTGTCAGGCCTGCGTCTTTGAACAGATAGAAGGTGTCTACATATCTTTTTTTATATTAATGTAAGCATTGCCCACATTGTTTCTGTCTCTTACACTGTGCAGTGCCCACAGCAGGTGATGACAGTATATAAATCAATAATGATAAAAGGCATCTATTTCTAAATTAATCAGACTTTACTGGGGTTACAAAAGCTGCAGAAATGGGAACAGCTGACAATATGGCTGAGGATAATTGTTCTCATTGTTGTCTCCAGGTTCACTTCAAGAACAAGCACATTCTTCATACTCCTGCCTTGTTCAATAAACAGCTTACCTTCCTCATCCACCTCCAGCCATTGGTGGGGGACTGGGGCCTGAACCGTGATTGATCCTTCCCATTCGTCGGCGTGGATATCCTGGAGGTCTGCAATGTAATAAACACCATCAGAAATGACAGAATCATTACCCAATTAAAAAATGCTATGCAACTCCACCAATAAAAAGACTCTAATCCACAGGTCTCTTCATAGCTGTTGTCTGAACAGTCGTGGGAACTGAGAAGTGGGGCAGGTCGGACCTTATAAGTAGGGTTAGAAAGTACCTAGAAACATGGGATAGAATACTACAGGTACCTTATCCCATAGGGGAAAGAACTGTAAAAAAGTATAATGATAAATCTTTAAAGTGTGACATATGCTTGTTATACTCACAGTGACACCTAAGGGTTTAATCCTCTGCATTGTGTAAAAAGGCTGTTTGATCCCGACTTCTCTGATCCTCCCCTTCTTTTACTGCCCCCAATCCATCTGTCATAGTACAGAGCAGTAGTGGCAAGTCTGCACATGCTTGGTTTGGTGTGTATTCCTAAAGAGTTTTTTTCCTTTGTGTGTGTGTGTGTGGGGGGGGGGGTGCATGTGATTGGAACAGGGCCAATTTAGCTGCTGTTAGAACAGAAGGTCAGGGGTCATTGAGCCTCATAGGGTAGTCAGAGGAGAATGAAAACTCCTCCTCTAAGATTAACCAATACCCGACTGGACACTGATGGAAGGTACAAGACTGATATATACTGCTGATGAGAAAAGGTATTTAGCAGTTTATATTTACTAAAATGATTGCCGTACTCTGTGTACTGTGGAAGACCGGATATAGTGAATGCTGGGTCCGGGGTTTAGTAACACTTTAAGTGCCTGTTGACATATACTACAATTGTTTTCCATGTGTCCTATTCACACTACTCAAGCTGCAGTGTAGTGACCATAAAATGCAGACATGCAGACTTCATTCACATTCACACCATGCTGCTGTATAGTGACATGAGTGAAGTGTCACTTTGTGAACTTCACATTAAGTTGACAAAAAAAAATAAAAAATCTTGCCCTAAGACTTTTTTCCGTGCTTTTACTTCGTCGTTTTTAACTGTTGATTCTGCCATGTCGTAAACTCCTTGAGGGCAGGCACTGATCTGAATCTGCAATATGTGAAATGCTGCCGAAGGTTTTATTTACACAGGTATATGTATATGTTCTGCATGGAATTGCAGGTTCTTGCTGGCAGAGTTAGAAGAAGATCCTGCATAAAATACATATCTTAAAGTGGTTGTAAACTCTGTTTTTTAATTTTATCTACAGGAAAGCTTATAATAAAGCTTACCTGTAGGTAAAATGAATATCTCCTAAAGGTGCACCATTTAGGACAGTGGTTCTCAACCTTCCTAATGCCGTGACCCTTTAATACAGTTCCTCATGTTGTGGTGACCCCCAACCATAAAATTATTTACCCAGTAATTATAATTCATGAGTGTCGTTTTACCTCCAATACTGCTGCTTTCAACACAGTAGCTGCTTTTAACAGTGTAGCTGCTTTCAACACAGCAGCTGCTTTCTACACAGTAGCCGCTCTTTACACATCGGAAATATGTGTTTTCTGATGGTCTTAGGGGACCCCTGTGAAAGGGTTGTTCGACCCCCAAAAGGGTCGCAACCCACAGGTTGAGAACCACTAATTTAGGAGATCCTGTGTTTTCATTTTATCCAGTGAATGCACTATGAAGGAACAGCGTACCTGTGCCGTTCCTTCAGAGCTGCGTTCCGTGGCCTGGGACTCTCACGTGTGATCGCGGCCTGGCCTGTCAGAATGCCAGAGCTCGTGAACCCTGAAGGAAGGCGGGTGAAGATGAAAGCCGCTACAGCAGTGACAGCACGCCGCTGGAGGGCTTCGTTTTAAGGTAAGTTTTACATAATGTGCTTATAGGCGATGCATAGTAGCACATTATGCCATTACCTTGCAGGGGACTTTTTTTTTTGTCTGCGGTTTACTACCGCTTTAAAGCAGAACTAAACCCATCAATTTAACTGTTCCAAAAACAGTTACATTCCCACCATGTGCTGTGAATAATAAATATCACAGTTGCTTGTGCTGTCAACGAAACTGTCAAAACCATCAAATGGCTGTTGTTATAACTGATCACATGTGCAGCACCATGGCAGCTGCAAGTCAAACAGAGGCAAAGATGGCAGCTTCCTAGGCTGAAAACAATAGCAGGGTTATTCAGTACTTGCATTTAGAAGGTTTAGACACATACAGTTCTTCTAAGGACTCATTCACACATGCAATGATGCTCATATAGTGTGGACAGAAGGTTTTTGCAGCATGTCTAACTTCCTGGTGCCAGCAGGACACAGTGGCTGCACAGACACAGCCGCTTGCCTTAATGCAGGGGTGTCCAAACTATGGCCCTTCAGGTGTTGAGGAACTGCAAGTCCCATGAGGCCTTGCAAGACTCTGACATCCACAGGCAAGACGCCCAGAGGCAGAGGCATGATGGGACTTGTAGTACTTCAACAGCTGGAGAGCCATAGTTTGGACACCCCTGCATTAATGTGACAGTCATGCGGCTGCAGCTATTTATTACAGTTATTTTACATAACAAATACTAATCAACAGACTTCAAACATTTAAAGTGGATAATAAAATGGCTAGCTCTTCTGTTAAAATTTTTTTTAAAAAAAGCATTTCCCTTTTTTCATGTTCAAACATTTTATTGTCTTACAGGAACAAGGGGTTAACATATGAAAAACATTAAATGGAACCATAGAAAAACATGGAGGGGTACAATTGTATAAAGAAAGGAAGGATCTGGATATGCATCAGACAGGGAGCTCTGCTCCCAGAAACAATCTGAAGGTTCGATATGAGGCAAAGAAGGTGAGCCAGGTGGGAGTAGAAAAGAGGGGAATATAAGAAAGACTAAAGAAGGAGTAGAGGGAGGAAAGAAAGGATGTGTGACTTCCAAAAGAGAATAGAGAATCTCGAGACCATATCAATGTATAGCTTGACATATAGGATAGCCACAATATGAGATTAGGAAATGTCAAAGAAGGAGCAATGAATTGTCAAAGTTTGGGGGGAGGAAACATTCCACCCATGGGGTCCAGGTCGACAGAAACCTAGGAACAGCATCTAGGATGGTGGCTTCCACTTTGGCGTGCATTTCCCTTTTTTCTAGCGTTTGTTTTTTTCAAACTGCCTCAGCATTTATAACATGCCAAGAATGGAGCCAGATGGTGGGACAATAAATCTCCAACACATGAGAGTTACATCAGCAGATGTTCAATGGCTGAAGAAAGAGAACGTAGGTCCGGGAGAAGAAAAATAGAAAATGGCTACACAACAATGGAAGGGTAGAAAAGTGAACTGACCTGTCAGGGCTGGTGAAGGGCAAACTAAGTTGTAAGAATGTCTTAATGTGCAAGTACCTGTGCCCCCTCACCCTAATATAGTTCTCCTTTACATTATCACAACCTGTAAATGTGAACAGAAGATGAAGAGTCATACCCTCTCCCATCATCGAATCGTGAGCTGGACACAGAGTTGGAACAGCTTCTTCTGGATATATCAGGTCGGACGATGCTCTGAAAACTAAAAAAACAAAAATATAGTAGTATAATTAAAAAATGTGAAAAAACTCCTGCACTAGCCACTGAAGAAATTATGCAGCCAGCACTAGATGGGTGTAACCTAAACACAAGAAACAATTGATTTTTATATATATATTTATATATATATATATATATATATATATATATATATATATATATATATATATATATACATATATACACACATATACACACGTAGTGCAGCGCTATGTACTATTACACATATATATACACCTCAAGACAGAAAAAACATTAAGAGACCAAATACTCCAGTAGTCCTTGAGTGAATCAATCCAAGTGCTCAACCTGTGTTAAACAAGTGCAAGAAAACCCCTTATGGGATATGTGACATGCACAACACATGACAATAATGTGTTCTTTGAGATGGAACAAGTACTCTTCATGCAGGTGTGCAACCAATGAGTGACAATCTTCAACGTCTGGGGTGCCCCCTCACCTTCCTGCCCCGGCCGCACATGGCCAATGGGCCTGATAAAGCTCCAAGAGGTGGTTTCCTCGTTAGAGTGGTGTTGGGACTCTCTCCTTCTCTATGCACCAGGTCTCCCCTGAAAGGTCCTCCTTCTCAAGGCCAATGGCACTCCATGTTTGTCCCCAATAAAGTAAGAAGATCCAACATAGTGTAAAACCTTTTCATTTATTGTGATAAAAAACTAGAGTCTACTCACATGTGTAGATAAACATCTGCGTATGGTTCACTACAGCATGGGTGTAGTGTCTGTATAGATGAATCCGGGTGCACCAAGATGGCGTCTACGCCGGATGTGACGTCATTACGCTGCCGCTAGAGCTCCTCCTACTGGCAAATCTACGCATTACGTCACGATTGGACCACATGACTTCCTCAGGATATACCTGGTGCACCCGGATTCATCTATACAGACACTACTCCCATGCTATAGTGAACAATACGCAGATGGTTATCTACACATGTGAGTAGACTCTAGTTTTTTATCACAATAAATGAAAAGGTTTTACACTATGTTGGATCTTCTTACTTTATTGGGGGAAAAACATGGAGTCTCATTGGCCTTGAGAAGGAGGACCTTTCGGGGAGACCTGGTGCATAGAGGAGAGAGTCCCAACACCACTACTAACGAGGAAACCACCTCTTGGAGCTTTATCAGGCCCATTAGCCCTGTGGGGCCGGGGGCAGGAAGGTGAGGGGGCACCCCAGACGTTGAGGATTGTCACTCATTGGTTGCACACCTGCATGAAGAGTACTTGTTCCATCTCAAAGAACACATTATTGTCGTGTGTTGTGCATGTCACATATCCCATAAGGGGTTTTCTTGCACTTGTTTAACACAGGTTGAGCACTTGGATTGATTCACTCAAGGACTACTGGAGTATTTGGTCATTTAGTCTCTTAATGTTATATCTGTCTTGAGGTATATATATGTGTAATAGTACATAGCGCTGCACTACGTATATATATAAATATAATCTATCAATAGTAGTATAATTGGCATTAAAAGTATAACTAAAGGCAACGCTTTTTTAAGTTTTGGACACAGCAAAGAAGGATTAGGACCCCTGACAGTTTTTATTGCTGTCTGTGCCCCCATTAGGGAGATTCACGCTATTTGTTCTGCTTACCATTGTCATCGAAAGTGCAAGTAAAAGAAAATCCCAAATTTTGGGTTGTCACCAGAACAGGCATAGAGGTGACATCTTCCAATGGGAAGCATGTTTGTGCTGCTTTGGCTATGGGACAGGAAGGGAAATCTCCCCAATGGAACACAAAAAAAAAAAAAAAAAACTTTCTGAGACGTGAGCTCCAGGGAGAGGATGGGTAAGTGTTGCAGTGTTTGCTATGGAGGCTTGTATGATAGGAGTTCCAGAAACGACAAGCAGCTGTTATGGTATCCAAAAATGAGTTGCATAGTTGTAATGTAAGGGAAGCACTTGGCAGCAGTTTAGGATTCGTCCCCAATACGTGAGTTTCAATTTGTTTCCAGGAGACGGCAGATGTGGAAGTCCATGAGTGACTGGCTTGTGCCAAAATGACAGCTTTATAATACTTAGGCTGAATTGACAGCAGAAAAATGAATGTACATTTCCATCCATTTTATGTGCATTTTAATGCATGTTGACTTGGGCTGATTTGAGATTTAGAGCACTTGTAAAATGCAGGTCAACATATAAACACATAAAAAAAATTGTTTTTTACGTTTCCTGTTCACACTATAACGCCGCATTAACCTGCGTATTTTTGCATAATGCATACATGTTGAATTTTAACGCAATGCAGGTAAACGCAGTGTTGCGGTGTGAACAGGACACATAAAAACAATTGGTTTTTGTGTGTCTATGCGTTGTCCTGCATTTTACAAGTGCATTAAAATGCAGATCACCACAAGTCAACCTGCGTTAAAAGGGTGCATAAAATAGATGAAATTGTACATCATTGAGCACTGAAGGCTCCATTCACATTTGATGATTACTCATGTGACTTTGGACACAAAGTCACATGACAAGTCTTAGCCCATGTACTTCAATGGAAGCTGTTCAAAACTATTAAAGTCGCAGCAACTTTATAAAGGTTCCTGCACTACTTTGAATCAACTTGAGTGCCACAGACTGCAATGTAAACTCTCAAAAGTTGCATGAAAGTCGCATCTTAATGTTATCAATGTGAAAGTCAAAGCCCAAGTTGTACCCATCTAAAGTTGCATCAAAGTTGCAATGGAAATCACATGACTTTGGAGTCCCACGAGTGTGAAAGGAGCCCTATTGCAAGTCAGTGTGAATTCAGCCTTGGAGGCATCAGGTGCTCCCATGCCAGAGAACTTCATAAAGGAGCACATAGGATGGAGTTCTGAATGCAGGGCCTTTTTTTTTTCTGCCAAATAAATGTGTTGAGGATGTTTTTGTTTTAATATGTTATTTCTCAGTATTTGTCTCTAGATAAACCATGCTGAAAGAGTAGGAATTAGCAGCTTACTCTACTTTTTCCACCATTAGACCCAGGGTTACAATTGTACCAATGGCTCCATACTCTTGCTGTACCAATTTATGTATTGTGTATATGTCGTGTTTATCCCATTACATGAAAACCCCCACTGAAGTATTGCTTTTCAGGTACTTATTGTCATAAAAAAGAAATAAAGTTAACCCCTACCAGCCACCGCCTCCTGGCCCTTTAAGTGGTTCAAAATGCCAAAAGGAGGGAAAAATTCAGATCATGTGACCACAGTGACTGGCTGTTGAAGCGGTCACGTGATCGGAACGCTCTCAGTTGCAAATATGCATAAGGAGCTTTCCATAACATACTAGTTGCTGTGCTGGGAGTGCGCAGAGACCACACTCTCAGCACAATAAATTGTTTACAAATAAAAGCATATTTGCAGCCACCCGCCAAGAGTCCACATATATGCGCCAGGTTGGCCGGAAGAGGTTATAGAAAAAAAAAAATGGGAGGTTATAACCCCCCCTTACTCCATCCAAAAAAAAAAAAAAAAAAGTTTTGCTTTAAGTTCTTCATTAACAGTGTCCTCCAATCATTGCCATTTTTCCATATACAGACATTTGTAATTTTTGTATTTGGCATTACAGCTATTCTGGATCATCTGAAAAGGCAATCCACCCTAAGGCCTCATGCACACAGAACGTTACAAAAGAAAAAAAGAGAAAACTCTTAGAAGCTGTCTTTGGCAGCAGCATTTTTACAGAAAAAAAACGCCTGACGCTTGTAAAAGTTTCTAACGCTTTTACAAGTGATTAGGTGCATTTACAAGCACTTGGGCGTTAATTCATTTTATTGGCCAGAATGATCATTTATTCTGGCCACTGAAACGTATTATTAACACCCTGGGTTTTTTTATCTGCTGGTAAACACTACTGCTACTAAAAGCTTCCAAAAGTCTGTGTGTGTATAGACACATAGGATAACATGGGGGGCTGTTTGTAAGCAGTAAAAGAAAAAAAAAAAAAAAAAAGGCTGACACCCCTAAAAGTGGCTTCAAAAACGCCATGTGTGCATGAGGACTAAAATATTTATACCCTGGGAAATGCTCCTTAGATTTGTAGTCAGTAGGAAGAATGCCCCCCCCCCCCCCCTTACATTGATGGTAAGTGGGAAGAACGTCCCTTACATTGCCGATCAGTAGGAAGAATGTTCCTTATTTTATGGTCAGTGTAAAGTATGATCTTTACATTGGGGGGGGTTCAGTGGGAGGAATGCTTCAGTGGTTTTGCACAGAGCAGTCCCAATCCTCTTCTTCCTGGGTCTCCCATCAGCAACGGCTCCTGCTGCTGTGTCTTAGCCAATGAGGATATAGAGACATGGGAGAACTTCTGCTCTCGTGCACATTGCTGGATTGGGTTCGGGATCAGGCTCGGGGGGGGGGGGTTTAAAAAAGGGGGAGAATCGTTTTAAATTGCAAAATACAATAAAAATCACATTTAAAACGGTCAGCAGAGTACTCACAACAGAACAACAAAGTCTGTAATTCCCCAGAACAGTTCTGTAATAAAGGAGAGTCTCCATGGTGATCTCCTCTGACCATCCAACACTTGTCCTGCAAAAAAGAAAGCAAAGGAGGACATAAAATAAAAGGATACAAAGTAGACCATGAGCATGGAAAGTGTCACTTTAACTCTCCAAACTGAATAATGAGTTAACAATGTTAAAGTAAAACATTTTTAAAGGGTAAGTTAAAAAAAAAAATGAAAAGGTGAACTAATTCCAAAAATCCTGACCACCCTCCAGACCCAGGCCGTGATGCTCCATGTGGTTGGTGTAATGGCCTGTACACTACAATACACAGCCCCGGAGAGAGGATCTATCACAGCTCTTAGGCAACGGAAAACTGACATCACTATGCTGTCATATGCAAAATGGAGTGCAGGATGTCATGTGCCTCATCTTGTGCATGTGCTGTACAACATTACATTCATTTGTTAAACGGGAAAAAAAAAATCTCGTGAGATTTTAGGGGAAGTATTTTTTTTTTTTTTTTTTGCACCAGTAAATGAGTGTAATTTCGCACAGCGGAAGATGTCAAACGCTTCATCGCAAAGTATGACAATACTGCGTGATCTCACTTCCCTGAAGGCAATGGTGATGTAGCCTTTCCAGGCGGTATCTGCGTGGGTGGGGCTAGGTCACCATTGCCTTCAGGAAAACAAGGAAGTGGAAGCCACAAAATGTAAGTACAAAAGAAGTAGACGTAGAAGTAAAGATGTAGGTGGTGGAAAATCGGCACCCTGGAAGAAGATGCTAGTGCCTGGGAGGGACTTTGTGGGCATCAGACCATTGCAACTTTTTTTTACCTTTAGTTCCATTTTAAAGCAATGTTAAACCCAAAACCAAAAATGAATTACATGTATTACTATTATTTATTTCAGGTACACACACACACACACACATATACACCATGTTCCAAATTATTATGCAAATTCTATTTAAGTGTCACAAAGATGAAATATTTTGTTTTTTCAGTGTAACTCCTGGATGGCATTGTGTGTAAGGGCTCTTTTGATCACTAAAAACAATCTCGGACACCTGTGATAATTAGATTGGCAGGTGAGCCCAATTTAAGGAAAAACTACTGAAGGAGGGCGTTCCACATTATTAAGCAGAGCACCATTTTCAAGCAATATGGGGAAGAAAAAGGATCTCTCTGCTGCCGAAAAGTAAATAGTTCAATGCCTTGGATGAGGTATGAAAACATCAGATATTTCACGAAAACTTAAGCGTGATCATCGCACTATTAAGAGATTTGTGGCTGATTCAGAGCACAGATGGGTTTGTGTAGATAAAGGCACATTGAGGAAGATTTCTGCCAGATCCATGCATCGGATCAAGAGAGCAGCTGCTAAAATACCATTACATAGCAGCAAACAGATATTTGAAGCTGCTGGTGCCTCTGGAGTCCCACAGACATCAAGGTGTAGAGTCCTCCAGAGTCTTGCAACTGTGCATAAACCTTCTATTCGGCCACCAATAACCAATGCTCACAAGCAGAAACGGCTGCATTGGGCAGAAAAATACATGAAGAATAATTTTCAAACAGTCCTGTTCACTGATGAGTGCCATACAACCCTGGTTGGTCCAGATGGATGGAGTTGTTGATGGTCGGTAGACGGCCACCCTGTTCCAACAAGGCTGCGACGTTAGCAAGGCGGTGGTGGAGTCATGTTTTTGGGCCGGAATCATGGGAACAGAGCTGGTCGGCCCCTTTAGGGTCCCCAAAGGTGTAAAGATGACCTCTGAAAAGTATGTGGAGTTTATGACTGACCACTTTCTTCCCTGGTACAGAAGGAAGAACTATGCTTTCCGTAATAAAATCATCTTCATGCATGACAATGCACCATCTCATGCTGCAAAGAATACCTCTGCATCAATGGATGTTATGGGGATAAAAGGAGAGAAAGTCATGGTGTGGCCTCCATCCTCCCCTGACCTCAATCCTATTGAGAACCCTTGGAGCATCCTCAAGCAAAAGATCTATGAGGGTGGGAGGCAGTATACATCCAAACAGCAGCTCTGGGAGGCTATTCTGACATCTTGCAAACAAATTCAAGCAGAAACTGTCCAAAAACTCACAAGTTCAATGGATGCAAGACTTGTGAAGCTGCTATCAAATAAGGGGTCCTATGTTACAATGTAACGTGACCTGTTAAAATGTTTAAAAAGTTAAAATGTTGTTAAACGTTTGATTGAAATAGCTTTTGATTTCAGTAAATATGCTGCAAACATAACAAATGACAATTTTCAGTTCTTTACAACCTATAAAGTGTTTTGAAACTTACTGTGCATAATAATTTGGAACAGTGCATTGGAAGTGTTTTATGTTTAACAAAAATCCTGTTATCATTAGGAGGTTTGTTCAATAAAATGTGAATTGTACTCTTAATAGTTGATAACATGAGAATTATGCTGACTGTTATTTACATCAATTATTTAGGTAAATGAGAAAAATATAATTTGCATAATAATTTGGAACAGGGTATATATATACACACACACATACAGTATCTCACAGAAGTGAGTACCACCCTCACATTTTTGTAAAATATTTTATTCTAGCTTTTCATGTGACAACACTGAGGAAATGACATTTTGTTACAATGTACAGTAGTGAGTGTACAGCTTGTATAACATGTAAATTTGCTGTTCCCTCAAAATAACTCAACACACAGCCATTATTGTCTAAACCGCTGGCAACAGAAGTAAGGGGGGGGGCGGCTTAGACAGGCAGGAGGGGAGCAGTGTATACAGTGACTGGCTGTCACTATATGTTGGTTTTTAAATGCAATCGCTGGCTTTTTTTTTTTCTTCACTATAGCTCACAGAATTAGCTGTCACTTTCCCCCCAGCTAAAAGAAACAAAGTTTCCTTTAGCTCCGGGGAAAGTGACAGCTAATTCTGTGAGCTATAGTGAAGAAAAAAAAAAAGCCAGCGATTGCATTTAAAAAAACCAACAAATAGTGACAGCCAGTGAGGGAGCCTCTCTGTATACACTGCTCCTCTCCTGCCCCCTCCTTGCACACACTGCCCCTCCATCCCTTCCCCCCCTACAAAGAGGACCTGTTACTCATATGTTATCATATAGGGGACTATTGGTCCCCTATGTGATAACAATAAAATCATAAGTTAAAAAATAAAAATATGCATTAAAGTAAAAAAAAAAAAAATACAAAAAAAATTGGAGCCTCCTCACCCCCACATACACAGACATTTTTGGTTTCGGAAACTATGGCGGCCATCACATCTAAGAATTGGTAAGCTGCAATATAATAAATGTTTGCTTTGGGGTTTAATACCGCTATAGTAAAGCAGCGTTTGGCGATTTTACATCAGCACGTAAGGACATATAATGATGTGAATTGTAGGGAAGTGGTGGGGGGGGGGATGGGTCCACGTTTAGGAGAAGGCAGTACTGTTCTCAAATACCTGTCCTCTGTGCCTCCACTGTTGATGGCTCTTCAGAGACCAACGCCAGGGTAAGTTAGCCCTGACACCAGACCAGGGGGTCCTCCTATGAGATGTGGGGATCATTCCCTCCCAGCAGTGAGGTCATTATATCATTTCTAGGATCTGACATCTCCCCATACATTCAGATCTGTACAACTCATACGTGGGGGAGGGGGATCTAAAAGCAGACACTGTTTATATACAGCAATGACATGGGTGAACACTAAGGCTGGCCATACACTATACAATTTTCTGTCCAATTTCCGTTAGATTTACCTTCAGCTATGTAGTGCAAGGGCCTGTCTAATTGGATACAACTGAAAGTGTTGTTTAGGTCTGACCTCCTATTATATGATTTTTGGTAAATCTAAAGCAATTTTCTAAAGATAATTGAACAATGTATGGCCAGCCTAAGGCTCACCACACACATTACAATCTGCTCATACAATCAGCTTTAGATTTACCAACACTGTGTAATAGGAGGACCTACCTAATCTAACCAACCAATCTGGATCCAATCAGGCAAGCCCTTCCACCACATAGTTGATGGTAGATCTAAAGAAGATCCTAAGGTGTGTAGTGTCCATACAGCTGGCCACAATGCAAGTGTACAATCCAAACACACCGAACAGAATCAGCGAGGGAGAATGTCACCAGCACACCGAGGATCACCAATATGGGTCCAAACGTTCCAACAAATGATCACAGTTACAGCAAAGCTGGTCACATGCCTGATGAAGGGGTCCTGCGAGACTCCGAAACGTTGCCTTGCTGTAACTACGTGATCGTTCATTAAAACATTTGGTCCCATATTGGTGATCCGAGGTGTGCTGGTGACATTCTCCCCTACAGCTGGCCACACACTATACAACCAGATTGTACGATCTTCCTTAGATCTACAAAAATGATGTAATATGAGGATCTACCTAAAGAACCCATTTGATTTGTATCCAATCAGGCAGGCCCTGAAACTACAAAGATCTAAAGAAGATTGTACAATCAGGTTGTGTAGTGTGTAGCCAAACATGTTGTATGCGTGTTGTATGGTGACTTGTCCAGTCTGTGCGATCCTTATGACATCTGCCGACAGCTGTACAGTAGAAGGACCGGCCTGACCGGACACAGATGTGATGGATCGTACAGGCGCCCCCCCCACACTGTTCAGGAGATCGTCCGATCAGATTGTGCGGCGTGTGGTCGGCGTACAGTCAGCTCACCATTGGCGATGTAGACCATGATTCCTTCTCCGATGGTGACTCAGTCTCCGCTACAGCTGCGGAAATCCGGGAACACCAAACAGGAGGTGGAGCGCGCTGATTGGCTGCTGTGGGCGTGTCCTGAAAAACCTGGCAACGCGGTCTTAGTTACAGAGGTCTCCGGCAAAGCTAACTCCTCCACTGCCGGAAGGTGCTGATCTGCACAGGATGCAGAGGATAGGATTCTGCTGTGAGAGAGCCCCCGGGTTAACGATGGTTGGCTATGATGGAGGGGATAGGTTATTTTTGTCCATGATACTTCGCAGCACAGTCCTCCTCCACCAATGGGCTTTATATTTCCCAGGGATAGGCATGGTTGTCCACTCTGCTCAGTGAGCTCTGCGTGTCCTAGGGTTGGCTTCTGTTCTGTGCTTGTCAGTGGCGCATGCGTGGTCGGAGCCCGGTGGGTGCGATGACCCAGGCGGAGAAGGGAGAGCCGGAGAACGGGAAGGAGAAAGAAAAGGAGCAGCGAGGGGTGAAGAGACCCATCGTACCTGCCGCCATTCCCGAGCCCCTGCAGGAGGTGACTGAGAAGGGGTGTTATAGGACCGTGCATATAAGGCTGGCCATACATAGCTAACCCTTAGCGACCAGACTGGTACAAGGGTTGGCCCTTCTCCCCACTGTCCCCCAGTACAAGGGTTGGCCCTTCTCCCCACTGACCCTCAGTACAAGGGTTGGCCCTTCTCCCCACTGACCCTCAGTACAAGGGTTGGCCCTTCTCCCCACTGACCCTCAGTACAAGGGTTGGCCTTTCTCCCCGCTGGCCCCCCAGTACAGGGGTTGGCCCCTCTAATCCCCCCCCCCCCCGAGCCCCAGTACAGGGGTTGGCCCTTCTACCGCCCCCCTCCATCCCCCCCCCCCGAGCCCCAGTACAGGGTTGGCCCTTCCCGCCCCCCCCCCCTCCCCCCCCCGAGCCCCCAGTACAGGGGTTGGCCCTTCTCTTCCCCCCCCCCCGAGCCCCAGCTACAGGTGTTTTTGGCACCCTTCTCTCCCCCCCCCCCCGAGACCCCAGTACAGGGGTTGGCCCCTACTTCTTTCCCCCCCCCCCCCCCCGAGCCCCAGTACAGGGGTTGGCCCTTCCTCTCCCCCCCCGAGCCCAGTAACAGGGGTTTTTTGGCCCTTCTCCTCCCCCCCCCCCCCCCCCGAGCCCCCAGTAACAGGGGTTGGCCCTTCTCACCCCCCCCCCCCCCCCCAGTACAGGGGTTGGCCCTTCTCCCCCCCCCCCCGAGCCCCAGGTACAGGGGTTGGCCCCTCTCCCCCCCCCCCCCCCCGAGCCCCAGTACAGGGGTTGGCCCTTCTCTCTCCCCCCCCCCCCGAGCCCCAGTACAGGGGTTTGGCCCCTCTGGCCCCTCTCCGCCCCCCCCCCCCCGAGCCCCAGTACAGGGGTTGGCCCTTCTCTCCCCCCCCCCCCGAGCCCCAGTACAGGGGTTGGCCCCTTCTCTCCCCCCCCCCCCCCCGAGCCCCAGTACAGGGGTTGGCCCTTCTCTCCCCCCCACCGAGCCCCTACAAGGGGTTTGGCCCTCTCCCTCCCCCCCCCCCCCCCGAGCCCCAGTACAGGGGTTTGGTCCCCCTAACAGGGGTTCCCTCTCCCCCCCCCCCCCGAGCCCCAGTACAGGGGTTGGCCCTTCTCCCCCCCCCCCCCCGAGCCCCAGTACAGGGGTTGGCCCTTCTCTCTCCCCCCCCCCCCCGAGCCCCAGTACAGGGGCCCTTTTGGCTGGCCCCTCTCTCCCCCCCCCACAGGGGTTGGAGCCCCCCGAGCCCCAGTACAGGGGTTGGCCCCTCTCCCCCTCCCCCCCCCCTCCCCCCCCCCCCCCCGAGCCCCAGTACAGGGGTTGGCCCCTCTCCCCCCCGCCCCCGAGCCCCCCCCCCCCCCCCCGAGGGGTTCCTGGCCCTTCTTTCTCCCCCCCCCCAGTACAGGGGTTGGCCCCTCTCCCCCCCCCCCCCCCCAGTACAGGGGGCCATCTTTCCCCCCCCCCGAGCCCTTCTGGCCCTTACCCCCCCCCCCGAGCCCCAGTACAGGGGTTGGCCCCTCTCCCCCCCCCCCCCCCCGAGCCCCAGTACAGGGGTTGGCCCCTTCTCTCGCCCGAGCCCCAGTACCCCCCCCCCCCGAGCCCCAGTACAGGGGTTGCCCTTCTCCCCCCCCCCCCCGAGCCCCAGTACAGGGGTTGGCCCTTTCCCCCCCCCCCCCCCGAGCCCCAGTACAGGGGTTGGCCCCCTCCCCCCCCCCCCCCCGAAGCCCCAGTACAGGGGTTGGCCCTTCTCTCCCCTCCCCCCCCCCCGAGCCCCAGTACAGGGGTTGGCCCTTCTCCTCCCCCCCCCCCCGAGCCCCCAGTACAGGGGTTGGCCCTTCTCCTCCCCCCCCCCCCGAGCCCCAGTACAGGGGTTGGCCCTTCTCCCCCCCCAGCCCCCCCCCCCCCCCGAGCCCCAGTACAGGGTTGGCCCTTTCTCCCCCCCCCACCCCCGAGCCCCAGTACAGGGGTTGGCCCTTCTCCCCCCCCCCCCCCCCCCGAGCCCCAGTACAGGGGTTGGCCCTTTCCTTTCTCCCCCCCCCCCCCCGAGCCCCAGTACAGGGGTTGGCCCTTCTCCCCTCCCCCCCCCCCCCCGAGCCCCCAGTACAGGGGGTTGGCCCTTCTCCCCCCCCCCCGAGCCCCCAGTACAGGGGTTGGCCCTTTCCCCCCCCCCCCGAGCCCCAGTTTACAGGGTTGGCCCTTCTCCTCCCCCCCCCCCGAGCCCCAGTACAGGGGTTGGCCCCTCCCCCGAGCCCCCTACCCCCCCGAGGCCCCAGTACCCCCCCCCCGAGCCCCAGTACAGGGGTTGGCCCTATCCTCCTCCCCCCCCCCGAGCCCCAGTTACAGGTTGACCCTTTCTCCCCCCCCCCCCGAGCCCCAGTACAGGGGTTGCCCTTCTTCTCCCCCCCCCCTGTACTACCCCCCCCGCCCCCCAGTACAGGGGGTGGCCCTTCTCGCCCCCCCCCCCGAGCCCCAGTACAGGGGTTGGGGGCCTTTCTCCCCCCCCCCGAAGCCCCAGTACAAGGGGAGTTGGCCCACCTCCCCCCCCCCCCGAGCCCCAGTACAGGGGTTGGCCCTTCTCCCCCCACCCCCGAGCCCCAGTACAGGGGTTGGCCCCTCTCCCCCCCCCCTGCCCCCCCGAGCCCCAGTACAGGGGTTGGCCCCTCGAGCCCCCCCCCACCCCCGAGCCCCAGTACAGGGGTTGGCCCTTCTCCCCCCCCCCCCGAGCCCCCGGTACAGGGGTTGGCCCCTCTCCCCCCCCCCCCGAGCCCCCAGTACAGGGGTTGGCCCCCTCTCCCTCTCCCCCCCCCCCCGAGCCCCAGTACAGGGGTTGGCCCCTTCCCCCCCCCCCCCCCCCCCTGGTACAGGGGTTGGCCCTTCCTCTCCCCACTCCCCCCCCCCCCCCCGAGCCCCATGTACAGGGGTTGGCCCACCTCCCCACAGCCCCCCCCCCCCTGGTGCACAGGGGGGCCCCATTTCTCCCCCCCCCCCCCCCCCATTACAGGGGTTGGCCCTTCACCTCCCCCACCCCCCCACCCCCGAGCCCCAGTACAGGGGTTGGCCCCTCTCTCCCCCCCCCCCCCCCCGAGCCCAGTACAGGGTTGGCCCCTCTCCCCCCCCCAACCACCCCCGTAACAGGGGGTTGGCCCCTCTCCCCACCCCCACCCCACCCCCGTAAGCCCCAGTACAGGGGTTGGCCCCTCTCCCCCCCCCCCAGTAACAAGGGTTGGCCCCCCCACCAGCCCCAGTACAGGGGTTGGCCCTTCTCCCCCCCCGAGCCCCAGTACAGGGGTTGGTCCCTTCCATCCCCCGGCCCCCCAGTTAAAGGGGCGGCCTTTTCTCCATCCCCGGCCCCCCAGTTAAAGGGGCGGCCTTTCTCCATCCCCCGGCCCCCAGTTAAAGGGGCGCCTTTCTCCATCCCCCGGCCCCCAGTTAAAGGGGTGGTCCTTCTCCCTCCCCCCGGCCCGCAGTGCAAGGGGTGGTCCTTCTCCCTCCCCCCAGCCCGCAGTGCAAGGGGTGGTCCTTCTCCCCACTGGCCCCCCCAGTGCAAGGCTGGGCCCTTGTCCCCACTGGCCCCCCAGTACAAAGGGGGGTGGCCCTTGTCCCCACTGCCCCCCAGTACAAATGGGGGTGGCTTCTCCCCACTGAACCCCCAGCAGTAAATTGGGGAGGGGGGCTTTTTTCATACTGAAATTGTATAATACTTCTTGTATTTTTTTTTTCATGCAGCATATTCAGAGTGACTATGTGGTGGTGATACACCCTGGCTCTAGTATACTGCGCATCGGCAGAGCAACAGACACCCACCCAGCAGGGTATACCCCATGTCATCGCTCGCAGGCACAAACAGCCAGGGACAACCTACCCACTGTGACAAGTGGCTGCTCAGAGACGGCCTGTATGTAAGTCTTCTCATCTGTCATACTGTACATCCCTGCAACTATGTATAAGAATTAGATGAGAACAAAGGAAGTCCGATCGGCTACACTTCAAACAATCCACTTTATTGAACCACGATAAAACACCAGTACAGACAGTGGGCCTGCCAGTCCCCCACTATATTTCCATTATCTGTATTTGTTTTATCTTGGTTCAATACAGTGGATTGCTTGGAGTGCAGCCGATTGGACGTCCTTTGCTCTCATCTATGCAGCACATGAGCTGGGCTAGCACCTACAGGAGTTGTGCTTGGAGATTGAGAGTCTCTACCTTGAGCAGCAGTAAACATATAAGTATAAGAATTAATGATTACAGCACACTGACCGGTTTGAGGGAATTAATAATAATGTGGTTCCCTTTGTTTATATTAACAGATTTTCATTACTTTGTGTCTTTTTGTCATTAGAAACCTGAAAGCAACGAGCAGAGACAAATGGTCTCAAAATGGTGGATCAAGCCATCTGGTCCAAAAAGATGTCCAATGGCACAAGACGTATCCCTGTGGTACCAGAGCAGGTGCGTACCAAAGAGAGAAGCCATGGAAGTCTGGAAAAGGGGTCAGCTTGAAGTGATCTAGCAGAACTTCATTTTCTGACTAAAGTTTTACTTTAATCAATGCAAAGCTTCCTTTGATTGGCCAAGATGGAAATTGTGACAACGTTCATCCGCCTCTCCACATCAGAGGAAGCCTTGTATTCACTGACAAAAATACAAGCTTTCTCTGAGTGAGAAGTATTTAGCCTGACTCGATTTTGTTTCGTCAGCAGACAGTATAATATCGTGGCTGAATACCTTCGCCATGTAGTAAATAATTTGTTTGGGCTAGTATGGCCCAAATGAAGTATCTAAAGTGAGAGGAAACAACATGAATTTTACAAATTGCAGAATTGAAGGTTTTAAGAATTGCATATCTTAAACATCTTCTATTTTTTTCCATAAGATGTGCATATCTTATCTGTTGCATCTCAGTATTGCTCATCTCCTGCAGTCCTTTTTTAGCCTTTTCCTGACTACATGCTCTCACTCTAGCTTGAGCTGTACTTAAATACTGTGAACCAGCTTTCTGTATGATGACAGTGGACCATATATGTGCAGTGTGTGTCAGCTAGGCCGCATGTATCCACCCCCAAGGAGCACATGTGACACCATGACAAAGTAGTAACCCAGTTAAGAGATCGCTGTCACCCCAAAGCAGACTGCCTCAACAAGTACTATGGGAGGATCGCAGGTAATTAGTTTTAGGTATTAGGGGGGGGACCATAACATTTTACCAAATTCTCTGAATTTTTATTGGTGTGGTTTACACTTTTCAGGCACGTGCTTACAATAAACAGATGAGACCGGCGATATTGGACCACAACTCTGATGTTGCATGGACAAGCACATCACATAGACCTGAATATCTTGTGGGTGAAGAGGTATGTAGTCCTGTCTAAATGCATCCCAGGAGCCATGAAGCTAGTGTGCTCAAAACTTTAACATCTTGTTTTTTGTTTTGTTTGTTTTTATTTCCAATATAAATATATTTCTAAGTAAGCTTACTACAATCTATCATTTGTATAAAAGGTCAGGTGACAAATCAAGAAGCCAAATCCAAGTAGGTGCTCTGGCGTTTTATATTCATACCAACAAATCAGGGACTATCTACAGCTTTTTACCACACAGCACCTGTTATCAAACAGTGAGCTAATACGTTAAGGGCCTTTCTTACCTGTGTGGTACACATTTTTTCTTTTTTCTTATTTTTTTAAATACAAGTTTTTTTTTTTTTTATTTAACGCCAACAATTTTACACAGGGCATTGCGTACTGTATATGCATATCAGTCCCTGCCCTCATGGAGCTGACAATCTAAGGTCCCTATCTCGTATGCATGCTCATATACTAGGGCCAAATTTGACATCCTGACAACATGTCTTTGGAATGTGGGAGGAAACCAGAATACCCAGAAGAAACCCACAAAAGAACAGCTAAAATATATGCAAACTCCATGCAGATATAGTTGTGATGGGGATTTAAACGCAGGACTCTAGTGCTGCAAGGTAACACAGGGTACACAGTGCTTTGCTGGGCCATTTTTTAAAATGTATTATTAATGGCAATGCTTTTTAGCGCACCATAGCACAATATTTTGTACATTGCAGTAGGGAAGAAAGTGCAGCAGGTGAGTGGGCACCCCAGAACTTTCAGAATGTGCATACAGTGATGAATCAGAAAGGTCTGATAGGTCTTTAAACTTCTAATAAATTCCTTGGGTGTAGAGCTCAGGTCCACTTTAGTCTTTGTACCAGTATTCCCTGAGGCAGCAAGCTGAATGTGATCATTGCAATTGCATATTGTTTGCATGTTAATCTTTATTCAGGCAATTACTCGATCTGTTTTCTGACACGGACTACATTCATAGATCCATAGTTTTGTTTATTATGTGCGGTCTATACTTTTCTATCCTATTAGGCATTATTTGTGAATCCAGCAGAAGGCTACAATATTCACTTTCCCATTCGAAAGGGCCAACTTAATGTTCACACTGGACCAGGGGGCTCGCTAACAGCTGTCCTGACAGATCTGGAAACCATTTGGTCGCATGTCCTACAGAAAATCTTAGAAATTCAGTTAAAGGACCTAAAGGTATGAGGTTTTTATTTTTAGGAATCTATTATTAAAACACTCTAATTATATCAGACTGTAGGTATTACTTATTGCTTTGCATTATTCATCTCTATTACAGGTTTTTTTTGTTTTTTGGTGTTTTTATTTTTCAAGGAATGGATGACACAGTGGGTTTCCAGTGAGTGCATATATTTTAGCTATGAATACAGTATTAAAACAATAGCAAAGGCTGTAAATTGAAAAAAAAAATCCCTACTGTAAGTCAATGCCATAATGTGCCAGTGTGCACCAACCACATACTAGTACATTATGAAAAACTTTCTTCAAGGTTAGCGGACTCTGGTTGTTAGAATGGCCGAGCCACAAAGACATCACTCACACGTGCAAACGGGAGCCACGATTACGACGCAGCACTCTGAATGGATGTCATACTCAATACTCTGTCCATTCATAGCACAGTACACCTGCACCAGTGACATAATCGGCTGCAGAAATAGTGACTAGCTCCTAAACAGTGTACGTTTTAGAAGATATTCCTTTATTATTAGCTTACCTGTAGGCACAAGTCACCGAGCATTGTTTACCAAAAGCTTTAATATTAAAGTTTATGCAAACCCTCACCTTATAAAATAACCCATACATTTTAAAATGGAAATGAAAGGCAACACATTTGGGTATAGATATAAAAAAAAAAAAAAAAAAAACCATAAATACCTTTTTCCCCTCTTTTTATAAGTGATCACATACCCTCTGAATAGCTGAGCACAGAGAGCTGGGGAAGGAGACAGCAGTACACTGAACTTCCCAGTGAATGGCTGTGCAGGGAGGGGCGTGTGAGCAGAAGTCTGATCATTGGAGGATAGCACACTGAGTTCCCAGCACAGCTAGAGAACGGATCACCCTTTGCTGTCATGTCTAGTGTGGCCAGTTTTTAATAGGAAAGCTGAGGGACTGACAGGAACACCAGGGATTTCACACAAAGGAAGCAATACAAAGAGAACAGGATACTTTTTCATACAAGTACATAGTACAGCAGGAACCTATCAGGAATATGAAATGTTGGGTTTGCATACTCTAGTAATTTTTGGTGTAACTTTCACATTTTTGCAAACTTTCTCTTTCATTTTTATTATTGTTTAAATTATAGCGCTTTCTAAATTGATCACTTGAGGGACCCTTTGCAGCCATGTGCAATCACTCTCTTCAGGGAGTCAATCTTGCAATAAAGTAGAATTCGAGTTTTGGTATCCCTTTTTAAAAAGTTAAGTTTTGATAAGCTGGCCCACATGAATAATTTCCATACCAGAACGGACTGGTCACTGGGGCTACTGTAATAGACCATAGTAGCATTAGCTATATACAGTAAGCAGCACTGTGTTCTAGCAGCAGTATGAGACACACTGCCTCTCTGCTGCTGAATAAAGATTGAGTTGGTCTTCACGTATTTGTGCCATTCATTGAAAAAAAAAAATAAAAAGGCTTCTAAATGGCAGGGATTATACTATGACTGACTTGATCTATACCTGGCAACTCAAAGGAAGTGTCTTGTGTTTCTGTTGGAACACAGCGCTTTTTACTGTCTATAGCTAATGCTACTATGGTCTACTACAGCAGCTTCATTGGCAAGACTGTTCTGGTTTGAATACAGTTTGTCTGGGACAAGCTGACTCTGTGAAAGGATAGTAAACCTGAAATTCTACTTTAACTAGCTGCCGACCGCAGATAGCCGAATGACGGCTGCACTGCGGCCGGCCAGTTCTGAGTGGACGTCATATGACGTCCTCCCAGAACGCGCTCTCCTGCGCACCCCAGGGGGGGCGTGCACCCGGCGATCTCCCTGATCGCTGTGTCCTACGGACACAGCTGATCACGTGATGTGGTAAAAGGCCAATCACAGCGGCCTTTTACCACGTGATCAGCGGTGTCCAATGACACGCTGATCAGAGGAAAATGCAAGTGCCGGTTCTCGGCTGCACTTTCCTCACGCTGTCAGATCGTGAGGAAAGTACTGCCGAGAACCGGCAGTTGTCAGAGCGGGGATCGGCACCGATCATCAGGGCACTGATGATCAGTGCCCTGATGATCGGTGCCCAGCAGTGCCACCCGCATGTTCTGCCCACCTGTGCCCAGCAGCGCACCCACTAGCTCCGCCCACCTGTGCCCAGCAGTGCACCCACCTGTGCCACTCTGCAGTGCCACCCACCTGTGCCCGCCCACCAGTGCAGCCCAGCAGTGCTGCCAGTCAGTGCTGTCTATCAGTACCCATCATCAGTGTCACCTATCAGTACCGCCTATCAGTGCTGCATATTAGTGCCGCCTATCCGTGCCACCTCATTAGTACTGCCTATCAGTGCCCTTTAGTACTGCCCATCAGTGCCGCCTATCAGTGCCCATCAGTGCTGCCTCAACGCACATCAGTGAAGGAGAAAAATTACCTGTTTGAAAAATTTTATAAAAGAAACAAAAACTTTTTTTTTTTTTTTGTTCAAATTTTTTGCAATTTTTTTATTTATAGCGCAAAAAGTAAAGTGCCCAGTGGCGATTAAATACCACCAAAAGAAAGCTCTATTTGTGAGAAAAAAATGATCAAAATTTCATATGGGTACAATGTTGCATGACCGCGCAATTGTCAATCAAAGTGCGGCAGCGCTGAAAGCTGAAAATTGGCCTGGTAAATAAGGGGGTATAAGTGCCTGGTAGGCAAGTGGTTAAAGCAGTAGTAAACTGAGAAAAAAAAGTCAATAAAATCTTCTCGCTTTTTAAGCTGAGAGCATAATGTGTTGGTATGCATTGAAGGAGAGTAGTGTTTTTTAAAGGGTCGGACCATCACATATGGGTACAGACGTCGTACGTTTAAAACATCACTTGAGCAAATATCTGTGTCCGCATCAATGGAAGAGGTATTGAAAGGAGTCCTAAACAAGGGAAAAAGCGGTTGAGACCTGTAATAATACAGGTTCAATCTTGAAGGTGAGCGCAGTGGTGAATAGTGGTGGGCATCATTACATATGTCTGGTGTGCAGCATCACTAAAGGTGGAGTGTAGTGATATATCCAAAGTAGGTAAGATATTCACGATTTTATATGTATTTTATCCATATATTCACTTTTAGTATTTTGAATAGCATATTTATTATTTATAAGATTGTATATTGGATTGATTTATTAGATTGGGAGGCGCAGCAATTTTATTTATTTTTTTCTTTGTACATTGGTTGTGGGAATACAATTGCATTACTAGAAGGAACTCCCTTTACAGTCAGCATGTAATATAACATTTGGTTCATTTTTCATTTGATAGAGGCGCATGATATTTTCACGCTTCTTTTCTTTTGTCTCAAAAAATTAAGATTTAATTTGGGTACAGTGTTGCATGACTAAACATTTGGCATTCAAAATGTGACCGCACAGAAAGCTGAAAATTGGCCTGAACAGAAGGGGATGAAAGTGTCTGGTATTGAGGTGGTTAAAAATTAAAAGGATTATAGATTTTTTTTTTTTTTTTTTTTTTCTGTACTGAATTATACAGTCTCTAATACTAGGATATCTTCTTTTTTTTTTTAACAGTTTTACAGATGTATATTACTTATCCCAGACATCTATAACAGACAGCATGTGAAAGAGATGGTTAATATGGTCCTCGTAAAGATGGGCTTTTCAGGTAAGGGTGTGTCTTCTGGTGTGTTGTTGTACCTTGCGCAGTCACAAAGAAAAACCCACAGATAACCTCAGGAGACATACAGGCTGCTCAGGATATTTACGGTGGGGTTGTTTCAAGGAGCAAAAAACAATGATACTTGCACAAAAATGAGCTGCATGGTCGATTTGCCAGAAAGAAGCCATTACTGCCCCAATGCCACAAAAAAGCTTGGTTACAATATTCCTGGCAACACCTAGACACACCTCAGCTTCTGGCTCACTGCAATGTGGAGTGATGAGACCAAAATAGAGCTTTATGGTCACAACCAATAAGCGCTATGTTGGGAGAGGGGTTAGCAGCGACAAGAATACCATCCCCACTGTGAAGCATGGTGGTGGTTCACTGATGTTTTGGGGGGGGGGTGAGCTCTAAAGGCATGGGGAATCTTGTGAAAATTCATGGCAAGATGAATGCAGCATGTTATCAGAAAATGACAGACAATTTGCGTTCTTCTGCATGAAAGGTGTGCATGGGACACTCTTGGACTTTCCAGCACGATAATGACTCTAAGCACAAGGCCAAGTTGACCTTCCAGTGGTTACAGCAGTAAAAGGTGAAGGTTCTGGAGTGGCCATCAGTCTTCTGACCTTAATCTCATAGAGCCACTCTGGGGAGATTTCAGACGTTCGGTTCATGCAAGACAAACAAAGACTTTGCTTGACCTGAAGGCATTTTGCCAAGATGAATGGGCAGCTATACCACCTCAAAGAATTTGGGGCCTCATAGACCACTAGTACAAAAGACTGCACGCTGTCATTGATGCTAAAGGGGGCAATACATAGTATTAAGAACTGAGAGTATGCAGGCTTTTGAACAGGGGGCATTTCATTTGTTTACTTGTTGCCATGTTCTGCTTTTATGATTGTGCCATTCTGTTACACAAGATATCTAAACACAAGTAAATGCACAATGTGAACGACACTATTAAAAAATAATTGCATACTTTGTTATGCATTTAGAAATGTCCTCTAAATGCATATAAAAGCAAGTTTGACACTGCCAGTGTGAATGAGGCCCTACTATTCAAATATCCTTGTAAATTTCTGAACGGTTATTTCAAGCAATCTTAATAGGTTTCACAGCTTTCCTCTGTGAGCTACAAAAAAGGCCTCTATGTAATGGGGATGAGTGGGGAGGGGTTTGTAGTTCAAACCAGGGGAGCAGTCTAGACACTCTTTCCTTAGATACAGTGTAGTGAATAAGCATTCCCACTGTTAACTCTTTCCAGTAGTTTTTTTAGGACAATGGGGTGGGAGGGGCCTCCATCTCTCATAGGCTGTACTGGAAGATGACTACGGGACATGAACGGGGTGGGGGGAGGGAAAATTTGCAGCCACCACTCTGCAAAATATTTTTTTTTTTTTGGATTTGGATACGCTTAAAAACGTAAAGGATTTTCTCTTGCAGGTGTTATAGTTCTTCAGGAATCTGTGTGTGCAGTGTATGGGAGTGGCTTGAGTAGCGCCTGTGTTGTTGATATCGGGGATCAGAAGACCAGTGTCTGTTGTGTGGAGGATGGAATATCACATAGAAACACCAGGTAACTCCTTATAATCATCATCCTTCTCTTAGGACACATCTGGGGAAATGTGGTTTCCTGACTTTATTCCTGAGAATATTTATTGCAAAGGGAATACAATCCAACAGCATTCATGAAGACACAGAAATGGCCCATTCACACTGTTGCGTGCTATAAAATGTGCAGCAGTGCATTGTGGTGCGCTATGTTGGGTTAAGAGAGTACATGTCTGTTTTTTTTGTTTTGTTTTTTTTTTCTTTTATTGCAATACACCAGACCACAACAGTATGACTGGGTGCTTTTTTAAGTATGCCAAATTCAGAAAACAATGTATTGAGAAGAATACAGTACATGGGTTGGCATAGCTGACTTGCTGCTAAAGAATAAATGCTGGCTGTTCGTGGAGTAAATACTTTGAGACACTGTACCAAAATAAGCATGCAGATCAGAAAAGTCAACTCATGATCTACATACTTATTCTCAGGAATTACTGATGCCATTGGGTCATCCTGTAAGCAAGAAAACTAGTGGCTTTAGACACAAGGCAGCCAGTGGTAGACCTTATGTTACAAGTATCCTTTTACTCTAACATCCTATTTACAGTACAAGAATCGTTTGGCATCACTTTAGCCTTAAAGTGCTGTTCTTGTGATATGGACATTTGCTACAAAGAGAGGCTGCTGGGACACAAATTAGAATTGTCACAGTGCAATCCAGTAAGCGTTTCCATTTGCTTTTGTACAGCTGAACTATGGCATTGGATGATACTAAATTATTAATGCTACAGTGGCATGGGATTGATTTACTAAAACTGGAGAGTGCAAAATCTGGTACAGCTCTGCATAGAACAAGCCAAAGTTAGAAGCTGATCTGCTGCCATTCAGAGCTGCACCAGATGTGACACTTCAATTTTAGTAAATCAACCCCTATGTGTTCACAAACCAGCATATTTCATATACTTTCTGGCCTTAAAACTGAATTAAACCAAAAATGTAATATATTGCAGCTTACCAATCATTAGATGTGGTGTTGCATTAGTTTTTTGTTTTTTTTCTTTGGCTTTTGCCCTCTGTTTTTTCACCTGGTGATTTGGCCAGTAACACCCTTCCTGTATTATAGTGCCCCCACTGGCTGAAGGAGCAACAGACACCTTTTGAACAGCAGCATTGTCATTCTGGAGGGAGGAGCGTTAAATGTATTAACAGATTTAGATATGCCAAACTCCAGCTAACATTTTATAAACCGTTACAGCAGCAGTTTTTTTTTTTTTTTTTTTTTCTTTTTGGGATAAAGGTTTTACATAAAAGGTGATCATTGTAAACACGCCTGTCAGTGGTAAAAGGCTTGTCTCCTCTCTTTAAACTGATACATCTGCAGGAGAGCTTTTGAAAAACAGACTTATTAGCAGGATCACCAGATAAAGATAGAGGAAAGAGCCTAAAAAAAAAACTAATGCAGCCGTCACATCTAAGAATTGGTAAGCGGCAATATAATAAATGTTTTCTTTTGGGTTTAATACTGCTTTAAGTTGCCCCATATATTGAAAACTGCACCTGTTTTGGCCCAGAGAGAGCCCCATGTAGGCTTATTGCAAGAACAGGAGTAAATATCAAATTCTGGTAATCAGATTATTTCATTTGAAAGCTGAATATTAATTGGAAGCAGTTGACAATTGCTTCACTTTTTTTCAGCCTTTGACATACCTGTGGGTCAGTTCTAGGAATTTGTATTTATACTGACAAAATGTAGTTCATTTGTGTTCAAGGAAGCTCTCAGATTTAACTTTCTAAATTGTGAATAGGTATGAAGTGCTGTATAATTAAAGCTATCCCAACTAAATCATGTGGTTGGTGACAGCCAGTGTTAAAGTTAGTTAAAACGTTTTAATGATGAAAATTCAGTAGATTAATGTGACATAAAATGCAAAAAAAGCCTGATTGTTCTATTCTTCAGATTGTGTCTAGCATATGGTGGATCAGATGTTACCCGCTGCTTCTTCTGGCTCATGCAGAGAGCTGGATTCCCATACCGGGAGTGCCAGCTAACTAACTTACTTGACAGCCTTCTTCTGCAGCAACTTAAAGAGACTTTCACACATCTGGACCAGGTAGAATGACCCTATTACATACAATTGTAAGAATTCCAATGATCTGAAAAGTCTTTATTACATCGTTCATGTTGAACCTACAAGCTTAGAGGCATATATGCTTTAAAACCACTCCATCAGTTAATCGTTGGGCTGCTTATCAGGTCAGGCCTTCTGTAGATATGATGGGCAGCTATAGGAGCGCACACAACCGGCTAACATTGTTATTAAATGCAAGGTATCAGCTTAACGTTGTCAGTTTGCAACAGGAAGTGCTACTACAGACATGATCTCTAGGTACTTTGCAACAAATTCACAAAAAAATTTGCTTATGAAATCAGTATGCAAGGGAAAAAAGGTAGGGTTTGCTTACACTTTGAGTAAATCCATGGTTATTTAATGCAGGATATCTGTGGACTGCAGGATCACGAGTTTCAGGTCAGACGCCCCGATGCTCCAGCCCTCTTGTATCAATTGAGACTCGGAGATGAAAAACTTCAGGTAAGACGAATGTGTGTGGTGTGTTTTTTTTTTTTTTTTTTTGTTTTGTTTTGTTTTTGTTTTTTTATTATTTAGAACCAATCTTTGTGCAGATATTTCTTTATATTCATTCACAGGGTAGCATTTGCATTCTATCCACTTTTGCTTAGTGTTTGTCCAGTCAATGGGTTTTGAGAGGAGTCTGAGAACACATGCTGTCTCCAGTATCAGTCACTTTGTCTGTTTATATACATTGTATGTGCTATGTGGTGAATTAATTTTCCATGCCCCTCTAACGTACATACATGCACTAAACAAACATACTTGACTCTTGGCACAGTGCAAGTAATGAGAAACATGCGTTTCCTTGCTGTGCCCTAGAGAAAAAATATATATTTTTTTTTTTTTTTTTTAATTTAGTATGTGGACACACACAGACGTGTAAATACACCCTTAGAGCCAGTTCACACTACATGCATTTCAGTGTGCCTTTTTTTTTTTTTTTTCTGCATCAAAAACACAGCAGGTTATATGGGTTGTCCATGTCAAAGTTCACATCATTGCTTGCAGTTCCAGTCCGGTTGCAGAAAAAAAGTAGAACAGGCTGCATTGTACCTGCACAGAACTGTACTAGAATGCAATAAAACGCATCAAAAATGCACATGTCCCTATTTATTTAAATTGAAAGAAAAAAGGGGGAAAAGTGAACCAGAACACCTCAAAAATGCTCCGGAACGAGGCAAAAATGTGCTTGCAGAGACGCATCTGGACTGCATTTCTATAGTGTGAACCAGCCCTCAATGAGAGTGTGCCATTTAATTTGAAAAAATATGCCGACCTCTCCAAACTCCCAACCTCATTCTCCTCTGACGGCCCTTTTTACTGTGCTGGGAAACCTAAGTAGCCAGTAGGAATTTTGTTAAAGGCAGGAAAGGGCAGGTGAGCTCTGGAATTATGGAGTCTGAAAATTGCCTGTCAAAATGTTGGACCGTATGGACACGACAGAGGGGTTGGAAGATCACTCCAGGAAGTGGCTTAATGTATATGTAAACTAGGGATGCACCGATACTACCCTCAACCTCCTAGCGGTCACCGAAACCTGGATCCAAGCCACTGACTCCGCCTCCCCTGCGGCACTCTCCTATGGAGGTCTCGTCTGGTCCCATTCACCTAGACCGAGTGGTCGTAGAGGTGGTGGGGTCAGCGTGCTCTTGTCACCGCTGACCACCTTCCAGGTCCTCCCAAACCCCCCCTCTCTATATCCTTCTCCTCTCCCACTGCATCCGACTCTTCTCTCCCACCCCTCCTGAGGATTTCAGTAATCTATCGGCCTCCTGGACCCGTATCCCGCTTCCTTGACGACTTTTCCACCTGGCTTCCCTTCTTCCTCTCCTCTGAGCTACCCACCAACATCCTTGGAGACTTCAATATCCCTATCAATGTCAACAACCCGACTACATCCTAACTCCTCCACTTAACCTCTTCTTTTGCACTCACACAGTGCACACAGTCCTCCACCCACACCGATGGGAACACCCCGGACCTCGTTTTCTCCCATCTCTGCACCCTCCACAACCTCACAAACACCCCTTTCCCTCTCTCTGACCACAACCTCATTACGTTCTCCGTCTCCCCATCCTAGAACGCCTCCCCCCCCAAATGGCAAACCATCACCAGCCGTAACCTCCGCAACCTGAACCCGGCCCCTCTCCACTCTGCAGCTGACTGTACGACAGTATCCTTCCACTGTCATGCCCTGACCTGGCCACTACTGCGTATAACGACTCACTGTCAGCTGCCTTAGACTCCTTAGCACCCCTAACCACACGTAGCATTAGACCCTGACCGCTTCAACCCTGGCAGAACGACCAAACTAAAAATCTTAAACGACGCAGTCGCACGATGGAACGATTATGGCGCAAAACCAAATCCCCTCGAGCGTTCTCCCTCTACAAATCTGCCTTCCTCACCTACTCCTCCTCCCTCCACGCACCAAACAAGCCTACTTCATAACCCTCATCAACACCCTCTCCACCTGTCCTCGCCGGCTCTTCTCCACTTTCAACTCCCTACTCTCTCCCCCACCCCGACCCAGTACCTCACTCACCGCCCACGAGATTGCCAATCACTTCCAAAATAAGATCGACGCAATCTGTAAGGACATCGCCAATGCTCAACCTACCTCCCCACTATAACCCCATAAACTCTCCCCTCCTCTGACCTCGCAACCGCCCTACCCCCCACCACACCTAACGTACCGCACACTCCGGTCCTTCAGCCTTGCTACCACTGAGGAGGTCACTAACTTGCCCCCTTGACCCTGTCCCCACACAACTCATCCGGTCACCCTCCTCCTCCATCCTACGATCCCTCACCCACATCTTCAATCTCTCCCTCTCTACTGGCGCATTCCCTCCCCCTAATGGACGCGCACATCACCCCCATACTCAAAAAACCCTCCCTGGATCCCACCGACCTGAACAACCTTAGACCCATCTCCCTGCTGCCCTTTACTTCCAACCTCCTCGATCCACTACAGTCTGGCTTCCGTCCCCTACACTCCACCGAAACCGCCCTACTCAAAATCACTAATGACCTGCTAACTGCCAAAGCTAATGGCCACTACTCAGCCCTCTTACTCCTTGACCGTTCCGCGGCCTTTGATACAGTCAACCACCCCCTCCTCAATAAACTACACTCCCTTGGCATCAGAGACTCCGCTCTCTCCTGGCTCTCCTCCTATCTATCCCAACGCTCCTTCAACGTTACCTATAACGCTACCACCTCCCCCTCTCTGTTGTGGTCCCCCAAGGCTCTGTCCTCAGGCCCCTTCTCTTCTCCATCTACACCTCCTCCCTCGGCAAACTGATACACTCCCACGGCTTCAATTATCACCTCTATGCCGATGACACGCAAATTTACCTCTTCACCCCTCGCCTCACCCCTTCAGTCTCCGCCGTATCACCCACCTACTGAACGACATATCAGACTGAATGTCGCTCCATTTCCTCAAATTGAACCTTTCCAAAACCAAGCTCCTGATTCTCCCCCCAGCCCGTGCCCCTTCCCCCCCACCCTCTCCATCACGACCAACAACTCCACCATCAGTCCCACCCCGCAAGCCAAAGTCCTAGGTGTCACTCTAGACTCAGACCTGTCCTTCCAACCCCATGTCCAATCGTTGGCAAACTCATGCAGGCTCCACCTCCGCAACATCTCCAAAATACGTTCGTTCCTAACCCCAGACACTACTAAACAACTCGTTCACTCCCTAATTATCTCACGTCTGGACTATTGCAACTCCCTTCTCACTGGCCTACCTCATCGCAAACTATCCTCGCTTCAGTCTATCCTGAACTCAGCGGCCAGACTTATCCACCTTACCAACCGCTCCGCTTCTGCCACCTCCCTCTGTCATTCCCTCCACTGGCTCCCGTTTGCCCAACGCATTAAATTTAAACTACTAACACAGACATACAAAGCCATTCATAATGCTGCCCCAAACCACCTCACCGACCTAATACCCAAATACCACCCTACCCGTAATCTTCGCTCCTCACAAGACCTCCTACTTTCTAGCTCCCTGGTCTCCACCTCCCACGCCTGACTGCAGGACTTCTCCAGGACTTCCCCCATCCTCTGGAACTCACTACCCCAATCCATCAGACTGTCACCTACCCTCCTCACCTTTAGGCGCACCCTGAAAACCAATCTCTTCAGGGAAGCCTACCCCGGCCTCACCTAACAGCCGATCTCCTCCACTCCTCCTACCACTCCATCCCCCACAGCCACTTCCTCCGTTACCACTATCCCCTCCCTCCTAGATTGTAAGCTTGAAAGAGCAGGGCCCTTGAACCCCCTTGTGTTTTTGTTTTGTTACTGTATTGTCTCATGTACTGTCCCCCACTATAATGTACAGCGCTGAGCATACCTTTTAGCGCTATATAAATACTGTATAATAATAATAGGAGATGAAAATAAGACATTTACAAGCTAACTTGGTAATTTGTTTTTTCCCTGTTAAGGTATTCAGGTTGAAAGTCATGTTAGTTTCCTATACAGTGGGGCAAAAAAGTGTTTAGTCAGCCACCAATTGTGCAAGTTCTCCCACTTAAAAAGATGAGAGAGGCCTGTAATTGGCATCATAGGTAGACCTCAACTATGAGAGACAAAATGAGAAAAAAAATTCAGACAATCACATTGGCTGATTTGGAAAGCGTTTTTTTTGCAAATTATGGTGGAAAATAAGTATTTGGTCAATATCAAAAGTTCATCTCAATACTTTGTTATATATCCTTTGGCAATGACAGAGGTCAAACGTTTCCTGTAAGTCTTCACAAGGTTGGCACACACTGCTGCTGGTATGTTGGCCCATTCCTCCATGCAGATCTCCTCTAGAGCAGTGATGTTTTGGGGCTGTCGCTGGGCAACACAGACTTTCAACTCCCTTCAAAGGTTTTCTATGGGGTTGAGATCTGGAGACTGGCTAGGCCGCTCCAGGACCTTGAAATGCTTCTTACGAAGCCACTCCTTCGTGCCCGGGCGGTATGTTTGGGATCATTGTCATGTTGGAAGACCCAGCCACGTTTCATCTTCAATGCCCTTGCTAATGGAAGGAGGTTTGCACTCAAAATCTCACAATACATGGCCCCATTCATTCTGTCCTGTACATGGATCAGTCGTCTTGGTCCGTTTGTGGAGAAACCGCCCCAAAGCATGATGTTGCCACCCCCATGCTTCACAGTAGGTATGGTGTTCTTTGGATATAACTCGGCACTCTCTCTCCTCCAAACACAACAAGTTGTGTTTTTCTACCAAACAGTTCTATTTTGGTTTCATCTGACCATATAACATTCTCCCAATCCTCTTCTGGAACATCCAAATGCTCTCTAGCAAACTTCAGACGTACCCGGACATGTACTGGCTTAAGCAGGGGGACACGTCTGGCACTGCAGGATCTGAGTCCCTGGCGGCGTAGTGTGTTACTGATGGTAGTCTTTGTTACGTTGGTCCCAGCTCTCTGCAGGTCATTCACTAGATCCCCCCCGTGAGGTCCTGGGATTTTTGCTCACCGTTCTTGTGATCATTTTGACCCCACGGGGTGAGATCTTGCGTGGATCCCCAAATCGAGGGAGATTATCAGTGGTCTTGTATGTCTTCCATTTTATAATTATTGCTCCCACAGTTGATTTGTTCACACCAAGCTGCTTGCCTATTGCAGATTCAGTCTTCCCAGCCTGGTGCAGGTCTACAATTTTGTTTCTGGTGTCCTTCGACAGCTCTTTGGTCTTCACCATAGTGGGATTTGGAGTGTGACTGTTTGAACTTGTTATCAGTATAAAAGACACCTGTCCACAACCTCAAACAGGTGCCATTGATACAGGTAATGAGTGCAGGACAGATGAGCCTCTTAAAGAAGAAGGTACAGGTCTGTGAGAGCCAGAAATCTTGCTTGTTTGTAGGTGACCAAATACTTATTTTCCACCATAATTTGCAAATTCTTTCCAAATCAGCCAATGTGATTGTCTGGATTTGTTTTCTCATTTTGTCTGTCATAGTTGAGGTCTACCTATGATGCCAATTACAGGCGTCTCTCATCTTTTTAAGTGGGAGAACTTGCACAATTGGTGGCTGACTAAATACTTTTTTGCCCCACTGTATCTTTTAGCCTTTTTTGTTCAGGAGTTACAGATGTTCATTAGTTACATGTTGTGTGTCTTATGATGTAGGCCCCAATGGCTCTGTTTTATCCAGCCACATTTGGAATCTCTGGCCAGAAAATGACCTGTCTGCAACATCGATCACCAGGAGACCCAGAAGATCCTCATGATGAACATTACCTGGTGGCTACACAAAGCAAACAGGACCAGGTTTGTTTATGCTAACCTTCTACATTATCCAGTTTAGAACATGGAGACATTCTCTAATCCTCTTGATGTTAAAGTGGTTGGAAACCCTTACATATACCCAGTGAAGTTACTGGCTTTAAATGATACACATTGAAACAAGTCCTCCAACATAAGTTGTAACTGTTTATCTGTAGGCTTCTCTTCTATATATCCATTCAAAATCCAGAATTTATAAAGGTTGTCTCGGAGTTCAGAATAAAATGGGGCGGAGAGCTGACATTACTATGCAGAGCTTAGTGAGGAGAGTTCTGAGAGCTAACTGGGGGGGGAGAGACACAGCACCCAGGAACAGAGCTGAGGCTGCCAATCTGCTGGAGGTCCCTCCCCTATCACCATTTTCTTGATGTTAGAAAAACTTGTCAGAAGTGATCAATGCTGATAGCAGAGGAAAGAAGCAGAAGACAGAAATGGCACTTGGTGCTCTGTTTAGAGACCACACTATAGAGGGATATGCTTTGCTCATATATCATTTTGAGGATACTACCGCTTTAATTATTGTAAAGCTTAGGTTCAGGGTCTTTTCATGGCAGAGGCTGATTTGTGCTTTACCAAGGCCTGTAGTTTGGGTACCACTGGCTTACATGCTCAAGAGCTTTTTACACAGGCATTGCTCTGGTCACCAGTCTATCTTACTACTTTTCTTGGTGACCTGAGAACCCTTGCTCGTGATATGGATGTGTTACCCAAAGAACATCTGCTACAGGCTTATCTGCTGTTTTCTCTTATACAGAAAGCCAGTTGTAACAAAAAGAAAATGCTGTAAAGATTGCAAACAGGAGTGCGCAAACGGTTACTGCATTACCGAAGGCATTTATTAAAATGCACACAAATGCCAATTTTATACTCACAAAGGAGATGAGATAAATGCAGTGTATCACAGCAAACTCAAGTACAGTGTCAACTGGTCCAATGCACCACTCATTTGGCAGGCTAACACATTTCGGATGATGCACCCCCTTTCTCAGATCTGTGCCATACGAAGCTCACATCCGCCTTTGTCTGCTTGTAGGCACATCAATGATCTGCCCCCCACACTTCCCACTTAGGGTGGGCAGCAGCATAGCAACAGATGATCTTGTTTATATTCCCAAGTCTGATGAGTGCTTTTTATATACATTTGGGACCAGGTAGATGCATAAATCCTTTGAGCTCTGGGTTTTTTTTTTTTGTTTTTTGTTTTTTTTTTTTTGTCTAAAAAGAACTTGCTGGTATTAAGACTTTTCTCAAAGCCACCAAACCTGATTCAGACCTTTTCTGGGAGTTTTGAATGTATTTGGTAAACAGAGAGAAAGTTTTATATACTGCAGGCCTCAGAAAGTACCCTCAGTCAGCATATGAGGTGCCCTCTGGTTACTTGCTGTTGTGTTACCAAAAGTACAAATTAAGGTAAATTGCTGGCACTTTCTAACTAAATCTGTTGCAATCTTTGTTGGCAAGTGTTATCTACTTAGAGATTTCTCTTTAATATTGCTCTTTAATATTACAATTTTGGTAATCGATTGCTTTTATAACACTGTCATGATTCCCACAATATGCCTGTATACACTATATACCTATATTTTTGTCCTACCTTTTTAGTCTTCGAAGGCAGCTGCAGAACGCAAAGCCATACCCAAGCCTGGGATGTTTGAAGATGCTCGAGGCCAAGCCATGGATATCTCTGGGCACATGCTGGAGTCAGAGCTGGGACCATCTCATAGTGATTGTATGGGGCCCGGAAATGATGGAGAGGAGTCTGCAGCCACCTTGTTCTCCAGGAAAAGCATGGTGTCACAGTTTGAAGGAAAAGCTCTAGGGCTGGATAAAGCAATTCTTCATAGTATTGACTGTTGTTGTAAGTGTTTAGTTACTTTTTAACTCCCCCCATAGAGAGTTTGCTTGTCACTACTACAAACTACTAAAGAACATAAAAGATTTTGATTGATTTGCTTGTACGAAGCTAATATTCTGTGCCCCCCTGTTTGTATTAGAATACATTCTGAAAATAGGGATTTCTTAAGGCCTTACAGTTTATGAACAGCAGGCAGCTCCAGGTGCCCAGAAACTGCATCTGCTCCCCTGCACAGCACTTTTGCACGCTTGACACCCTGGATGCAAATACCATCAGCTACACGGTTGCAGGCTTTTATCCTGCCCTCTCCTGTTCATGCATCTTAGTTTTGGTTAGTGCCCTGACCATCAGTGATGAGTTGAGGAGAGTGGAAAAACTAGCGCTGGACCTGTAGGGGTTATTCCACTGGTATTGATGTTGATGTAAATAAATGATCTGGTTCCCAGACAGGCAGCTTCTACACCCCAGAGGATCATCATGGTCTCGTTGGCTTGAAAAGTAATGTGACAAAAATTTAAATTGAAGGTCCACAGCACTGCTAAGAGGTCCAGATACAACGTTTATTCCAATAAAAGTCAAGGGGACAATCCAAAAAGTATCCAATGCGTTTCAGGGATCCAAGTGCGCCCCTTTCATCAGGACTTTATTTACACCGTGAATTGACTAGAAGTTTACTGGACTAACCAACCAACAAAAAATGGAAACGATACACTGTTTACAGCCAACCAACAAAAAATAGAAACAATACACTGTTTACAGCCAACCAATTATAACCTAGGGGTCAATTCACAAGAATTCAGAGATACTGCATGAATTTTTTAGGTAAAATAACTTCTGTTGTATTTATTTCAAAAGTAGTCAATTCACTAAAAAACGTGTTATTTACCAAATGCATTAAATATTTGTTTTTGTGATATACAGCACTTAAATTTTGTGTTTATTTTTGGTGTTTTTTCACAATTTCTTTTTTGCAGGCTAACATTGCACCAGGATGTACACAACAATACTATGAAAACATTGTAGTGTGCTTTTATTCACAAAATGATCTCCCTCTGATGAAATGTTACAATTTTCATTCCTAAGCTCAGAGGAGAACATTTTTACACTGATGATAAATTGTACACTTTTCACTTTCTGGCCTGTGCAGACTTCCTCTTTGGTATTTTGTACATTTCTAAAATACCGCCAGCGAACACCTGGTGATAAATAACAAAAGTGTGTTTTTGTTTTTTTTTTTAATTAATTGACTTTCATGATTCGATATTTTACATTGATGAATTGATTCTTTTGTTATCTCGTGATATTTCTAAAAAATGAGTTGCGTGACCTTCATATCGCATGCGGTAACCTTTAGTGAATTGACCCCATAATGCGGTACAGCATAACATTGACAAAGCAAACAAGCACTTATTTTATAGGACAATTGTGATAGTGCCAGAATGAAAAGATAAGAGTGACTCCAGTCTGTGCCCCAGCTGTGTGCCCGACCACAGAAGACACAGAAGGGAAGACAGACTCGTTAAGGACCTCGAAGGTGTTTATAACACTCTATGTAGTACTAAATCAAGAGGAACAAGACTTGCGGTGGCCAGCAATGCCTCCCAGTTTTTCAAATTTACAGGGTATCCACGGTGGAGGTATATTAATCGGTCGTATCTCAGAATGACTCCAATATTTTGCCTCCAAAGTCGGAGTTTTTTACTTCAAACATAAGAGAATGGCTTTATGGGTCTAAAACGGTGCTTTAGATATTGCTTCTAGTAAAGGCATATCCTGTGCCACACCTGTCTAGTATTCTAGCAAAACTCAGTTTCAGATTAAAATTGTATGTTCGTTTGAAAAACTGAGTTAAGTGTCGTGACAACGAATTCTCAATACCTGTGCAAATTCGGGCAGTGCCATAGCATGTGAATGAGATCCCGGTGCTATCATTCCCATTTACTACAAATGGGATCCTGTCACATCCCCATGACATGTAGTTTTGCAGGGGAATGATGAACCTTAACAGGATTTATAATTGTGATATGCAGTGGGACACATTTAGGGACCTAAGCTGAACTGATTGCAGTGCAGACTCCCACTGGTCTACCTCAAACCTGCCTACATCACTCTCCCTCCTCTCACTGGCCTTACTTTGGTAGCCCTCCAGGTAGAACTGGACATTTAATGTCAGCAACTGGTGTGGCAGTCATTCTAGTGTTTTCTAGTACTTTTATCTTGCAGATGTCATACATTTGTGGATTTCCCAAAAAAGATTTCTACTCCATGGCTTACTTAATTGATGTCAACCAATATTGGCAGTGCATAGCTGCTGTGCTCCTTTTTTCTTTTTTTGGTTCTTCATTCTCTCTAAGAAAAGGCAGGCACCTGTGGCGATTGGTGTATGAGAAGTTGTGCCAATCAGGAGTCAGTTTGCCTTCTTAGATGTATTCACCTATCCTCACAGCGAGCCCAGTGCAGAGAGAATGCAGCCTAGAAGAGGGAAAGTCTGCTTTACAGAACTGCTTGTCATTTTTTTCTTTTTTTTTCTAATTCTGTATGTTTTAGTTTATAAAAAATAAAACTTTAATGTGCTAAATAGCTTGAACATTTCTCAAGAGAATCCTCAATTTTGAAGCATACACTTCTCTGTTTTTCCTTTTTTTAGCTTCAGATGACACCAAAAAGAAGATGTACAGCTCCATCTTGGTGGTGGGAGGAGGGCTAATGTTTCACAAGGCCCAGCAGTTTTTGCAGCACCGAATACTCAACAAGATGCCCCCATCCTTTAGAAGAGTTGTGGAAAATGTAGAGGTCATCACCAGACCAAAGGTAATATGGTTTAGAAGTAAATGTGTGTGTGGTTTTTTTGTTGTTGTTGTTTTTTTTTTTTTTGTTATCGAGTTTGCGAGTATTAATAAGTAATTTTACTTTCTACTTTTGATATTGAGTGACCAGTGGAGAAATAGCTCTTTTAGAATCACAGGATCAGAAAAGAGGGGGCTCAGATAGGGACCATCCTGTCCAAAGCCTAAACAAACGGCTGTCTTGGGCTACTTTCTGCAGCTGATGTCTATAATTGTCTGTACATATTTGATGGGGGTAAAGGTATACCAGGGCTTTGAGCCCTATGAAAAGCCTAGGTATTACAGGCAGTGTTTTCACTGCATTTTATTTTTGGTATGGATTTGACCTTTTTGAGAAATTTATGTTAATCATACCTGTAGTTCTCATTTTTTATTTTTTTTTCTGTGTTGATATCCATAGGACATGGACCCTCGGCTGATTGCTTGGAAAGGGGGAGCAGTCCTTGCCTGTCTGGATACCACTCAGGAGTTGTGGATATACCACAGGGAATGGCAAAGGTTTGGAGTGCGCATGCTGCGGGAGAGAGCTGCCTTTGTCTGGTGAATTTAAATGGACCCAGTTTCCCATTAATGCGGCTGTAGATAATCCACTTATGGACTGAATGAGTAACTGGGACAAACTTTGTGTAATATATTCTAGTCTGCCTAGCAGCAGATATGAGGAAATGTGAGTGGGATGTTCTGTCCTTGTAGCATGCTCTGTTTATTTTTTTACATAACACTGACTGAACATTTCTGTACCAAAAAATAAATAAGTGTTTTATATGCATTTTGTGTGTTGTGTTGTGGTGTTCACATTTAGTTGAATTGACCTGCAGGTGGCAGCATAGGATTTTTTTCTTCTTTTTGACTTTTTATTTATAGTTTCAACAAAAATGAAAGCATTACCGTAAGCATTACCGCAAGTGTGAAAGAACCCAAAGGGACAGAAATGTGAATGTTTACTAGAGTTGTTAAAAAAAAAAAAAAAAAAAAAACATAAAATCTATTCCAGTAAAATTGGACTGTAGTTTGAAAAGATTTTAAAATATGTAGATTACATACAGTGAAAATGTCATTGTTGAACTAGTTATGGGTTTACTTTTTGCAAGCAAGGTTTGACTTTAATTGCATGTTCTTGCATATTTTCTTCAGCCTGTTGGTGCTGTGTCATCAATGCAATAGTATGCACATGCCAACTGGAGATGGAGCAGTGAATTGGCTTCAAGCTTAGGTAGGTGTCAACTATTTAAAAAAAAAAAAAAAAAAAAAATTACCAGGTTACATACTGGTTTGATTGTGGCTGTGGAGCAATGAAGGTAGTTCTTAGTCCTGACACATATATGTCCATTGTGTACTGCATATTAAAAAAAGACCTAAAGAAAAGTACAAAGCAGTCTTTAAAGATCCTGACATGTATTAAAGAAATGAATGCAGCTCTCTGTTTATGCTATTACACAATAAAGTGTATTTTATAGATGCATGCAATGCACTGGTATGTGACCTGTACAACAGATCTCAGACTGCAAGAGGAGAAAACGCATCACAAAGAACCAGTCAGTTTTGCTGCATTGCTTATGTGCTTAAAAGGAGCATGCTGATAAAAAGATGAGCTCAACAGTCTGCTAGTTTTCTTTACACTGTCCAATCACAGTCCGGGGAAGAGATCTATAAGTGCTATGTAACTGCAGCAATAGAAAAATCTGGTCTCCTGCCTGCCAGACAGACAGAGAGACCTGAGCTGTATGGTACAACTGCCTTTTCTCAATGCAACGCATTCTGATTGGACGAGGTGGAGATTGCAACATCACCATTCCACTCCTCCAGTTTGTCTAATCAGCAAATGCTTTGCATTGATTGTGAAAATGCAAATGTTCAATGACTGGCACCTGTGCTGAGTGAGGGACCTCCTGTGTTCACAATGAAGAATGGCAGCTGCTTGACATGGGACCCAGAAGCTACTGTAGTAGTGGTGCCAATGATTTCCAGCATCCACAGGGAGCTTACAGGTATGGTGTATACATACATATATTGGTCCAAACTTCAGCTTTAAGCAACACTTAGAAGTCTTGTCTCTCCCTCATCCTGTGACTGGACAGTGCAAGGAGAAGCAGTACACTGATAATTTCATCTCTGTCACTCTGTGCTCTCATCCTATTAGCATGCTCAGTATTAGCATATGCACTCTATAGCACAGCATATTGGCTCTTGTTCTACTTCTTCCAGCCAGGGCTCTGCTTATAGGAGATTGTAAGAGGAGTCCTATTCAGTTACTGCTTGCTTTAAAAAAAAAAAAATATACGTTTTATGATTTAATGATTTCAGAGCTGCATAAATGTTTTGTCTTTTATATCTGCCTGGAGTTCATCCTCCAAAGACTTATTCCAAAGCCGATATCCATTGAAATCCTTGCTGTACTTGGCATGAACACGACACTTCTGACACTGCACTCTTCTCTATAGAAGAATGGAGTTCAGAAAGTCCCTCTGTGCAAAAATGGCCATGATTCAATGATGTGTATCTTTTGCTAATATTAGGCCAAATAATCATAAAGCAGAACTAAAGGAGGTATACTCTTCTCCTCTCAAATGATCCAACGTCTGCTAGGGGACCCTTGCTGGTATCAGCATCTTCTGCCCACTCGTCGGACTTCAGACATCATCAGCAGCTGCCACGGTATGGGGTGCCTCCTGCACATGCACAGGAGTCAGTCACCCTGGCACAGGGACCAGGCACACAGTTTACATTTCGCAGAAAACTGTGAACAGGCGGGTTGCTGTATTTTATTGCAGAAGACATTACAGAGGAAATTAACAAAAACTGGAGCACTCAGAATCTGGTGCAGCTGTGTATGGTAGCCAATCAGCTTCTAACTTCAGCTTGTTCAATTTAAGCTTTGGCAATAAAACCTGGAGGCTGATTGGTTTTCATGCAGTGCTAAACCTGATTTTGCACTCTCCAGTTTTATTAAATATGTGCCTACATGTCTCTTGGGCAACAAACAGCCTGTCTGCTCACAATTTTTTGTAAAATCACTAAGTTCTGCTTTTACCCTATGTTCACGCCTAAGCAGCGTTTTTCAGAAACGCACTACAGCCCATTGAACATGATTTCCGAAGGGACACGTTCACATCTCCACGTTTTCACCTGGTGCGTTTTTTGGATAAGGTCAGGGACTTTTTTTGAATGCATTTTTGGTTCTATAGACTGGAAACGCTGCAGAAAAGCATGTAGTGCATTTTTGTATTTCAATGTTTTTTAACAATTTTAGAAACCGCATACAAAAGAATGCAACCCACAGTCATGAGTTGTAGAACACTAAACAAATCTATTCATTCAAGAATGATTACGACAGCAAAACAACAAAGTCAAAGAACAGACTAAGGTAGTTAAGGGTAAAAGCAAACAATCCCTTGAGTACATGCTAGAGTCCAAGGTAAATCCTTAGGCAATAATGGTTTGACCTACAATATGCAGTGAGAATATAGCATTGCTAAACACATTCCAGTACAAGTCAGATATCGACGTATTGTACAAGTGGGATGGTGGGAACAACTCCGCTAAAACAGTAAACGGAAATAAAAAAGAAGAAAAATATAGAGGAGGATAAGAAGAATAAAGTAAAGTTGGGTCAGTCAGAAATCTGTTAAACAACAGAAAGATATCGAATCCATGGATCCAAAGTGCTCAAATTTAGAGGTATTATTATTATTAACGATACTAGTAAGTTTATCAATAATCATGATCCAATTGAGTTTATTTTCTCCCTATGTCTTCCAGGACAGCCCCTTGAGATGTAGAGCTCCTCCCTCCGGATCAGGAAACGCACCATCCCCCCATGCCTTTTAAAAGGCAGACCTCCAGGCCTCCAATCTAGTTTTTTGAGTGTTTCCCGAGCCGGAAGGAAGCACGCTAGGAACCATCAGGATCCGCGCACTCTCAGGAAGGCCGTCCTGGAAGGGTGTTAGCAGGTCTGTTTACCTCCTCTCCCTGGTGCCTTCCACGGTGTGGGGCTGGTACCGGTGGTGGCCTTCACGCCTAGGCGGGTGACTGGCGTTGGCGGTATCACTGGGAAGGGGACGGGGTAAGTTCGCCCCTTCAGCCTGCAGTTCCTTTCCCGGGCATTCGGTGGAATAAACGCGGGGCAGGCGGGACTTCCGGTTGGGCGGGGCCTTGCATTCCAAAGGCAGAAGTCGGGTGATTTCCGGCAAGCAGGGTCCTCCATTTGCATGCCTGCGCTCCAATGGCCGGAAGTCCACCCAGTGACGACAGCGTCAGGCGCCGGAGACGCGGTTCCGGTCTCCATTGAAAAGGCTGCCACCCGGGAAAAGCTGGGTGAGCGTGCAGAGCAGCGGTGCTGTTTCCACGCAGGCGGGAAAAGATGGAAGCCGGACCTTCGCATGCTGATCCTGGTCCCAGCACCGGCTTCTCCCAGGTAAGCTTGGGGAGGCCCCCTTTATGCTGATCTCTGGGAGGTTGATAGGAGGTCCCTCAGTCCCCATGGCTGGTGATGGTGGGCACACTGCAGGTTTCCCGTAGCACTGGGTGCAGTGGGGAGTCTTAGAATTGGAATATAGGTGCCTATTTTTTTGTCGTTTTTTTGTCGTTTTTAGGTTAAAATGCAGGACAGGACCCCGGTGCAGGCCCCAAAGAGGAAATGTGCAGTGTGTGCTGCTAAGTTAGGGCCGGGATATGAGAAGCCCCTATGCCGCAGCTGCATTGATAGTTTAGTTAGAGACGAGTCCTTCACGACATGCCATAAAGTTTTGTCCTCTATTAAAGAGGATGTGACGGCAACGTTTCAGGCATTTCGGTCCCTCCTTGATAGGGTCCAGACGCTGCTAGAGCTTGGGACACAGTCTGCCATGATGGTAGGGGCCTCTAGGCGGGAAGTCCCGGAGGAAGAAGCCGAGGAGGAGGTGCCTCGATCTCATACGTCTTCACAGTTGGGTTCGGGATCTGAGGACGAGGAATCTCCTTCTTCAGGCTCTAAGTATAGATTGGCCTTAGAGGAGGTGTACGAGGTTTGAAAGCGATTTATGAAACTCTGGAGATTGAGGAGGAAGAAGTAGCCTTGTCCAAGCATGATCTCATGTATCGGGCTTCACGCTAAAAAGACCAGGGTGTTCCCAGTGCATAGTTCCCTGGTGGAGACTATCAAACAGGAGTGGGAAAACCCGGAGAAGAAGCCTTTCTTTTCTGGTGCACTGAAAAGAAGGTTCCCCTTTGATGAGGATCCCTCGCAACCTTGGAATAAGGTTCCAAGGTTGGACGCTCCTTTGTCTAGAATTTCTAGGAAAACTGATCTGGCCTTCGAGAACATGTGGGCCTTAAAGGATCCTATGGACAAGACGGGGGAGGTTTTATTACGGAGAGCTTGGGAATCCTCATCAGTTAGTTTAAGGCCAGCTCTTTCTGCGACCTGTGTGGCCAGGAATTTGGAATGCTGGTTAACCCAGCTGCAAAATCATTTAGCAGCAGGAACCTCGAGGCAGCAAATTTTAAAATCACTACCGCTGCTTCTTAAAGCAACAGGGTTTTTGGCGGATGCCTCGGCGGAGTCGG